GCGGGCAGCCCCTGCGCGGGATCCCCTCTGCGCGGCGCGGCGCGGCGCGGCGGGACTCGCCTCGGGGCTGGACGCGCAGGGGCTCCTTGGGCGCGGGCAGCTCGGGCTCCTCGTCGTCGTCGTCCGTGGAAAGCGCTTCGCTGGATTCCGCGCAGCCCATCGCCCGCCGCGGCGCCTGCACGGGGGCCGGGCCGGGCCGGGCCGGGCCGGCCGAGGGGCGCGGGGCGCGGGCAGCGGGAGCCTCCCTGGGCGGCTTTGTGAGGTCACGCCCTGGCTCGCCGGGCGATCCCGGGCCCGCTTCCCGCACCTGCCCCGCGCTGGATGCAGTGGGGCGCTGGGGGGCGCCGCCGCAAAGGGGCCGCCGCGAGCGAGGGCGCGACGGGGGCGCAGCGAGCCCTTCCCCAAGCCCGCAGCGTGTCTGGGCCTGCAGATAAGTAAATGCCCACCAGCCCTAGTCGGCACCGCAATGATGGGAGGTGTAGTTCCACAGCATCCGGAAGGCCCCATGCCGAGGGGGCTGGTTTATCCGGAAGAGCTCACATCCAGCGCAAGTGCGCGCCCTTTTTGGTGTGAGCCAGGCGGAGTACTTCTGATAGGCTACTCCCCTTAGACGCCAGTCAGTATGAGGACCAGGCCAAAGAACCATCGAGCCTCGTTTCTGTCCGGGGCCAAGGGGGCCCCGATGTAATCTTGCCCCTCACTCTTTGCCCCGCAGCATTCATATATACGAATCCTATATCCAGACATTCTGTTTTACAAATAGGGCTGTCATTCGACTTTGTATATGCAGATTAGTACACACAAGTTCGTGTTTCCCTTTTCTTGGGCCTGTGTGGGTCTCGGCCCTGGAAGTTCTCGCTTCTGGAACCAATAAGCAGGATTTGAGTCCAACAGCCCCAGCCTCTCCGTGCTCCCCAAAAACCGCTGCATAGCAGACGACTGATCCTGGAGATTTTGTAAAGCCATGAGGACTAGCAGCCATTAACAGCCTCTCTCAATTTACCCAATCCCCCTTTAAAGCCAGCTAAAATTGATGGCCGTTTCTAGATCTGGTGGAAGAGAATTTCATGGTTTAACTCAGGGTGGGATCCTAGGGCAGCCCCTGTCCACCTGTTCCTCATCTTCACCAGCCACCTAAGGAAAGAAATAACTCTTAAATTTCTCCTCAGACTTTCTCATACACCAACCGGCAGGCAGCCCCCTCACAGACTAACTCCAGCTCCTCTCCAGATGATCATACTCTAATGGGCATTTCCAAAAGCTTGTTCTCCCTTAGTTAGAAACCCCCTGCTAGTCAGGACTGTAAATTGAGCCAGGCCAGATCTCACAATAATGAAATGGTCTCTCTCTCCGCCTTCCCAATGGCCTTTGGCAGTAAAAAAACAAGGCCTCAGCCGACTCAGGCCCTTTTTAAGATCAGAGACCGCACAGTGAACAAGTCCTCCCCAATCCCTTTCCTACTAAATCCCAGCATGGTTATTTATTTATTTTAACATCTCCAGTATATTTATTTTATTTATTTAACACATTTCTATGCCGCCCCCATCGCAACAAAGCCTCGGGGCGGCTCATATTAAATTAACTCTTAAAATTGCTGGACCAGGTCGATGGGAGCTGCAATCCAGTTACATCTGGAGAGTCTACCCTGGGAAACTGTAGCATTTCTAGCCCCCGTGAATTTATTTTATGGTTTTCATAACTATGCACTACATCTTGTATCTACTTGTAGGGTTTTTTATCTTGAATTCTGCTTTGAGAATGTTCCAACCTGAAGGGCAGGCTAGAATTGTTAATCAAATGGCATGGGACCAGTTTATTTGAAGACCTCTGTCTTACATACAATCTCACCCACAAACTAAAATTTTCTCCAGGGATCCTCCTGAAATGCACATTTTTATGACTGGTTAAGTTTGGCCCAAACGGCCAGGGCCTACTCAACAGTGCCACCAAAACTAATCCCATTCCCATCTTCCTTGCCCATCTGTGTGAAGACCTTCCCCTTTCAAGACTAAGATCATAATTAGCACGTGTCTGTTTTAAAAGTGAGGAGAAACGAAAAATCCTGAAGTAAAACACATTTATAATACTGTATAAAATGTCTATTTGTGTTGCATAGTGTAGTGTTCTGGGAATTGTGGAGAGACGGTGAGGCCAAGTTTTGTCACATAACCAGACTTTTGGGCGCAGTTTGTCACCAGGCCTTTGAAACGGACAGATCAGACTGGATCCAGATTGTCATTGGGTAGCTTGGCTATGGGCAACGTTGCCTCTGATTGGCCAATGGCCTGGAGATAACGGAGGAGCGGCAGGCCATTGGTCAGCGGCCCTGGTGGAAAGGGTATAAAAGGAGCCGCTCCAGGCTGCCTGGGTCACTTGGGTGGCCGGATGGAGAAGAGCCTGCAAGGGGCAAAAAGAGCTGAAATCCCTTAAGATGGACACAGAGCAAGCCGGAAGAGAGCGTCAGGATGGGGATCTAGGCAGCGCTTGAGATCCTTGGGTCTGAAGAACTAGGAAGACTCGGTGATTCCAGAAGAGGGGCCTGCAAGGGGCAAAAAGAGCTGAAATCCCTGAAGACAGAAGCAGAGCAAGCCGGAAGAGAGCATCAGGATGGGGATCTAGGCAGCATTTGAGATCCTTGGGCCCGAAGAACTAGGAAGACTCGGCGATTCCAGAAGAGGGGCCTGCGAGGGGCAAAAAGAGCTGAAATCCCTGAAGATGGACACAGCAAGCTGGAAGAGAGCGTCAGGATGGGGATTTGGTTTGTTCAGCACTTGAAATTCTTGAATCTCAATACCTTGAAGACTCGGCACCAGGCACTGAAAGGACAAGCACCTCACAAGTCGCAGGCTCCTCACAAGTTGCAGGCTTTGCTTTCCTGCGCCAGGCATTCCTTGGGGAGCCTACAACCAAACTGAAAAGCTCTGCTCTTGTCCTGTGTTTCTTTCTAGATGAGGTAATATAGGCAGAATGCCCATATCCCCTTTTGCTGGGGAACATGGATGGGGTGCTGCTGTGCTCACCTGCTGCCTTGCATTCTGCATGGCTGCAGACTGGCCCCTGGGAGCTTGTAAATTTGGGATCTTCTGCATGTAAAACTAACACGGGTCTAATTTTCCCCCTTGGTATTGAAGTTTTATTTAGCAATGCGAAGTTTTTAAATGCTGTAGCAACTGCATTTATCATGACAATAGGCAAGTTAATGTCTAAATTTATAAAATTGCCATGCTTTATTTTAATATTTTCCCCTTTTAAATAATTATTGCTATGTTCAATCTATGCCACTAACCTTTACTGTAATATTAATGGTTGCTTGATTGATTTAAAACATTTCTATGCCGCACCCATCACAACAGCCTCGGGGCGGCTCACATTATATTATATACGTGGCAACAGAATTTAAGAAAAATGGCACTCCAATGATTTTCTAATGCAGGCTAAGGGAGAATTGATACCTGGATCCTTTATGGATTGGGAGATTTTGGTGGAATTTTAAGAACCCCAATCACCAATTTTCCCCCGTTTCATGATAGCAGTAGGTTTCTGTGAACAATTTTCCCTGGAGTAAATTTTCCATCTAGCCTGCATGCTAGCTAATATAGCAATTGTAACAGAATTTTCTTCCTAAAATATAACATTGCTATATTGTGTTGAAAGGATCTAGGAGTCAACTTAAAATAAAATCCATTAGTAGCAACCAGAAAAGCTGAGTTTAAAATGTAGGTCTTAACAGGGCCTGCTTGGGGGTATAGTTACAACATTCCTTTATGGATAATTTATACAACCCCTTCAGTACAAGATTATGTGACTCCTACCCTCACCTACTACCCACCCTGGTAGTAGTTTTGCCACAGTAACTAGAAATTTAAATAATATGCATAATATATCCTTGCGTATGTTGCTTCATAAAGGCTTAATCCTAAAAAGCAACTGGTACTTAATACTAAAGAAAATGGTTTCCCTCATTGGTTTTTAATGAGAAAACCTTTGTAAACTGGGGAGATCCTATTCCTCTGAGCTGTTATTCTATTTCCTGCCTAATAAGCAGCCAGAATGTCTGAAATAAGGAATATATTTCACAAAAGGCATATTTTATCACATTAACTTGACAAAACTGCACAGCAGCCAAAGATGAGAAGGGAAGTAAACGTTTCATCCCTTCCTCCCACTGCCAGCCCCTCTTCATGTAAAGCTTTGAATTCTTACCTTTCCAGCCCCATGGCTTAAAGAGGAACTGGGGACGGTATAGGAATTAAAAAAACCAAATTCCTGCACAGCAAGGCTGTCCTTCAGTTCAGTAGCAGGCAGCTGGGAGAGGCTGTGTCAGTGCCCTTGAGCAGTGTCCAAAATCCAAGACAGAGAGATTTGTGCTGGGCTAGTCCCTGCTCCCCGGCCCCCGTGTCACGATTCGGCCCGTTTCCTCTTCTGCTTTTTTAAGCCCTTGTCCTTTGGGGGCTTCCCAGGCCCCCCAGCAGAAGATGGCTGTGGCGCTGCTTTCCGCTTGGTGGTCACCACTTCCATGGAGTCCCAGATTTCATCCTCCTCCTCCTCCTTCAGGTCACTCTGGAGGGCAGCCGGAGGGCCGGGGTCCTCATTCTGGGGAGAGCAGAAAAGCAGAGCTGGGATATATTTGTGTTGTGGCACATTTTGGCTCGAGGTGCAGCGGGAAGAGTGACCCAGTGGCCTATATGGGAGGGGCCCACGTGCTCAGTGGGAGGGTGAAGGCTTTGCATGCAGATGGTCCCAAATTCCTGTCCTCAAGTCAAAACAGATAATGGGGGGGAAGAGAGACCCAAAGAGTCGTTTAGATAATCCTGCACAGACAAATGGTCTGGAAAATGGAGCAGTTTTCTGTAGGCTTGGGAAGTCCATGAAGTTTTAAATGGTGTGAACATTCTTTAATAATGAGCACAACTTAATACACAATTTTCAAGTGGTACATTCGCGCCTCATTGAAACTGGGAATCATGTGAATTATTCCCAGATCTTTCAACTTACCTCCCATTTCTCTCGGCTGGTCAGTAGGAGGCAGTTCAGCCGGGATTTCAGGTAAACCTGCAACCAATACAGGTATTTTCACTTATTTACCTGGTCTAAGAGTGAAAAGGGCTACTCTTGCAGGGAGAAGGGAATATACAAAACCCCAAATCCAGTACTGCCAAAACTAATTTCTTAAGACAAGGAAATACCTTGCCTTTGGCTAAGAGAATTATCTCAGGGGAAAACAACACAGAAAGGCGCAGAAAGTATGAATGTGGCCAGGAAGATCAGTTTATAAATGCGACAGAATCAAATAGAAGTATTTTCCTGGACAAAACCCATTTCAGGCAGTAGGTGGGCAGCACTGCATTTTAATCTTCCCCCACAGGAAAGAAAGCATAGAGCTGAAATTGTCTTTTTTCCTTGAAAAAAAAGCATATGAGCGGCAAGCTGAAATCTAATTGGCCTCAAAGCTGGGCTTATGCCCCACATTTTGACTGTCAGAGGTAAAAATAAACTCCAGGTTTCTCTAGCCATCAGGGTATCTTGGACAACCTCTGCACTGCTTTCTGGGTAGCCAAGAGTATAAGGATTTCCCCCCCACATTTATATACTCCCAGGACATGGATAAGCCTTCAAATTTCCTGGCGCATGGTGAATATTCCAGTGTGGGTGGCACCAAATCTTGGGATTTGGGTACTGTTTTAAAACCTCATGGAGCATTCCAACACTAGTAAACCTGAGAGTTGATAGGTTTGCAGACAAAATGGACTAAAAAGAGAAATATTAACATGTCTGGGGAACTCTGACAGGTATATTAGTACAAATAAAACTTGAGAACAAACTCTTCTGGGGTACCACCCTTAAAAGACAACACCTCACTTCCTTGCTGTCAGCCACAAAGTTGAGGATGTTGTGTCTATTCTGCTCTTCTTGTGAGTAAACCCATGTGGTTCATGGGGTCTGCCGCTCTTTTATCCGAAGGAATCCTCCCAGGTCAGGCAGAGAGCAAACTGGTGGCCCAAAGCCACCCAGTGAGTTTCGCGGCCGCGTGGGGACTGGAACCCGACCTCCTGGGTCTCGGTGCAAGGCTCACGGCTGGGCCACATGGGAAGACGGAGCGGGAAAGGGAGAGCGCTCCTGAACTTTTAGCAGCGCAGGGGATGCTGATGGAGGGCAGGCTGGAGCCCTGCCTGGGGCTACTGGGGGTGCATATAAATGAACCACGAACGGGAAGGCGCGTGCCTGCAGGGCGCCGACACGGCACCAGACACTGCGGGTCCCGGTTTCTTTCCCAAAATGCCGTGCCCGACGGGTGGCTCCCACCTTCTGCTCCAAGCGCTTGTGCTCAAGGTTGTGGATGCGAAGAAAGCGGTCCAGCCCGCACGAGGCCACGAGAGGAAGCGCCGGGTGGCACTGGATGGCGCGGACACTCCCAGCAAAGCCTTTGAGGCACTTCACCAGCCGTCCTGCCAGACACAGTGAATGGACGGGTTACCCATCCGGGCCCCTGAGAAGCGTGGCTTGGTTTAGGAATAGTAAGCTGCTAGTCCTCATGGTGAGAGGGAGGGGATGGTAACTTCCCAGGCTTTTATTGTGCTTGTGCTAAACTGAGATTAATACCTTAAGACTACATTATGGCCCCAGCCAGAGAGGGACAAGGATCCCAAGGAAGTTGCACAGAGGAGCTGAAGGCTCTTTTGCAGGGGGTTTTGGTTTCTACCGCCCAGAGAGCTTTACGGGGGATATAAAGATCCCGCATTAATCTATATGACTGCTTCCCCACATCCCCAGCCTGCCCTGCACAGAGCTGACCCGCCCCAGTGCACCTTCCGCACGCCTGGTTTTCAGAGGGGTGACCGGTGACCAGCTGCTCTTCCTATAAGGATCAGCGCTGGAGGAGGTTCCCCATTTATGGCCCAACTTTGGCACACTGCAGAAGGTAGGAGATCTGCAGACCAGACTGCAAAGCAGAGCTGGTGCTCTTCGAGGAGGGGGGCCAGCACAGGTGCAAAAGGTCTGAGCAACACCGGCACCAAGGGCCACGTGCTAGGCCTGAAACCAGAGTAAGGGGAGGGGGCTGGCCTGGCCGAATAGTCTTGAGAGTGACCCAAGCTGGTGAAGGGGCTGCACCCTCGGCCTACAGGCCTCTTGCCTGTCCCCTCCAGTCTTTGACAGACCTCTGCAACGCCAAAGCCCCTTCACTCCCTCTTCGATACTTGCCTTGCCGCAAGTCTATGACTGCCACATCCCCTCGTGAGCTGCCAACCACCACGGCGCTGCAAGGAGCAGAGGGGGGGAGCGAGATGAAAGCGATGTTTTGCAGCGGAATCCCGGCCACCCAAGCAGCCTCGGCTCAGAGCGCCCCCAAGCCCTGCTGCAGAAGGGCGGCCTGGGCGGATTCCAGCCACACTGCCCCACAAGTCTTGGGTGGAGAGGAGAGAGACGTACTTTGCATCTGGAGTCAACGAGAGGGCCGTTAGGGGGTACTCGCCGAAGGTGGTCTCCAGGACAGGGCGGCGCTGGGGGGAGCTGGGGTCGTAGAGCCGGACCTGGAACAGAAGGCCCAAGAGGGTGGAGTGGGTGACTCTGCCCTGGCTTGCGCATTCCCAGATCCTCCGACAGGAGGAAACTTTCAGCCAGGATCCACTGAGCCAGTTCTGCTTTGGCTAGGAGGTTACTGCAGTGCTGAGCATCTTTGGGGAAGGCTGGAACTGAGAGTGGTATCCAGACTATTTCTAACTTGCCTTTCCAGCTATTCAAGCAGAAAGTGGCAAGAGAGCAGCAACATCACAAAAAGACCTGGCAGCAAAACACCCTCCTCACACAAAGCCAGGAAAAGCACAGGAAGAGATTCACTGGCCCCCAGTTGAGCCTGGTGAGCTCGTCACACGATTCTTTCCATGCCTGAACAGAATGGAGTTAGCAAGAACAGCTTCCCTAGGGGTGTTTCTCAGCTTTGGTGCCACTGCTGAAAAGACCCTGAAAAATCTGAATTACTACTGGTCTGGATATGAAGTGAAGGTGGCTAAGGTATAAGGAAATCTGATGGCTAATCAAGATGGAATAAAATTCTAAGAAATATAAACTTCAAGTACAGGATAAAGAAAATATTCTCTGCCCACATCCCTCGCTCTTACCTGGTGGTGCCCAGTGCAGGTAACTATTTTCTCTGAGCCAGGCAAGAACTGCATGTCCCGGTCCCAGATGGGCACCCTCAGGTCAAGCCAGTCGTTCCGGACCTGTGATGGGAGAAGGGGAAGGGTGACTGGGGGGAAGGGGCTGCTCTGATGCAAATCGCTCCCAAAAAGCCTCAAAGGATCCTGTATTCATTACAGCACCCAAGACTATCTGAACGGCACACTTACATTCTTGGCTCGAAAAACGGGCTCCTGTGGTTGCTGTAGGTCCCACACCTTGAGGCAGTTCTCCTTCCCACCTGTGGCAACACGCTGAGGCTGTCCGGGGTCCTGGCGCATGCGGCACACGCCAGGGCCCACCTGGATCTCCATCTGCGAGCCAAGGGATCCATGCCATGTTGGTGAGGTGCAAAATAAGATGCTCAGATAGTCAGATGGTCTCACAGGAAGACCTGACGGTTCAGACTGAAACCCTCAACTGGACAACTACGTCCAACCTCATTGGCAGTGCCTGGACAATAGCAAACCATAATTCTGGGTTTGGACATCATGCAAAACTATCCAGGCCGGCTTTGTTTACCCCTCCAGGCTGGTGGGTGTGTGGCTTACCCACACTGGTTTAATAAACTAAGATGGCTGATTTAAAGTCCCATGCAAACATGGGCAGCGTTTGAAAGGATCACAAAAGGCAACTTGCTCCCAGTGAAGGGAATCTGCCACTATAGCACCCTAAAATTCCCTGAGAGCAGCTCCAGAGCTAAGCACAGTCTGGTATTTGTTGCCACCGTATGAAGTGTACTTATGGTAATTTATGCTCTCCTTTTGGGGGAATAGACAGGAATCAGTAGTTCCCCACCTGTTTTGATGGGCAGATCCCACATGACCAGATACATAATCTACCTTCATTAGTAAGCAAAGCGAAATGCCAGAGAAATAATTACCAAGCCTTGGCCCAGTGCCCAATTCTCTAGTGGATGCTGTGCCACCTCCCCCACACAAAGAGAAAAAGTACCAACTGGTTCAGATGCCCCCTCTCCTCCAGGAGATAAAAGCCTCCCTCCCCATTACCTGCTCTGACTCCTCACATTCCCCCCACTTGGATTTCCCACCCCACCTATGAGAAAAGCCTCACGTTTTCTGAGGGGTTGTTCCGCCAGACCTTCAGCAAGCCGGACTCGACACAGGTGATGAGGGCGCTGCAGGGGACAGCCGAAAAATGAAGGGGGAAAGAAAGGCAGGGAAATTAATTGGAGGCTTAAATGCTGAGGGTTTTCAGTGGTGACCTGTCCCCAGGAAGTGAGAGGTCCATGGAGAGCAGACTTCGGTAGTTTAGTGGTTTGCATGTGGAAGGCCTCCAACTAAATCCCTGGCAAAAGGGTCAGGAAGCAGGGGATAGGCAAAGGCCCCTCTCTGCCAGAATGGTGTTTTATTTATTTACATAAATTTATAGGCCGCCTATAATTGCCAAGGCCTTCCTAGGCAGCTTCCAATGTAAAAACACATTAAAACATAATAAATTAGACATCTTTCCACCCAGGTTCAAAGCTAGCTTCCAATGCTGGCTGATTATGTAAGCACTTCATCTGTTATCTGTTAACACAGTAAAGCTTATTTTGCTACTTGGGCTCAGGGATGAGTAAAGTCGGGGGCAGGTGGTTTGTATGCTGGCTTATTACATGTGAATTACAAGTAATCTTCCATACAATTTTCAGTGGAGGGAGCACACACCGCCAGACTACATAAGAACACTTGCTATTGGGCAGTGCACAAAATAAATATAAATTTAAAAATCATGCAAGTGAATAGGTGCCTAACTGCTCAAAATAGAGGTGAACAAATCCTAAGGGCCCAGCAAAGAGACACTTCTAGGTAGAACAGACAAGGAGAGGCCAACAGGGCCTGAGGTCCCAGGATGTTAATTAGGAGTGAGAAGCAGAAAACACATTTTCCCTAAAGCCACCAAAATATCTTTGGATCACCCTTGAATGCATAAAAGTGTGTCAAAGGGTGAGGTGGCAATGGGGGGTATACGATGTTAGGCAGTCTGGCTCTATGTACTCAGGAACCCTGAGCTTTTTTAGGCCAGGTGATGGCAAGGGAAGGCTTTGTCTTACCTGTCAAGCCAAGCCAAACCACAGAAGGCTCCCTCTCCACCTACACAGTCCTGGGTCTCAGTAAACTTGCCTTTTTCAGTACTGAACAACCTGACTGATCCATCAAGGCATCCCACAAAGATCTGCGAGGAAGCGAAAAGAAAGGGAAAAGGAGGCTATTAACTGCCAGGAGAATCTGCCATATCCCTGCCTATTGTGTTTTGGGGAAAGGTGGCAGCTCAGTGGCAGAACCCATGCAATAAGCCACAGGCTTCAATCCCTCACATTTCCACTTAAAGCAATTTCAAATATGGGGCTAGAAAAGGCCTGAAGCCTTGGACTGCTGCTGCAGTCACAGTAGACAACACAAGAGTAGACAGGTCATCAGTCTGATTTGGGAAAGCAGCCCTAGACTTTCAAGTGCCTGTCAACCATCTCAGTGGCTCTGTGCCCAGTGACCATAACACAGGAAGGCGGGAGGTTTACCCCTTGGCAAAAGATTGCATCTCAGTAGCAAAACACACGCTTTGCCAGCAGCAGTTCAATTCTTGGCATCCCCAGCAAGGTAGAGGAAGCTTCTCGTCTAGAATCTAGGAGACCGACTTCCAGGCAGCTGGATGCCCTTGGTGTGAGGCAGTTTAATGTCCTCTGTGATCATAGCTCTACTGCACAATCTGTCAATGCATCCCTGCATCCCACTAGAATCGGCGCCGATTTCTAAGCCTTCTTATGTTGGTGCTGTGTGTTTTAAGGCAGGAATTTCTTCCCCACCTCACGACTTCCATAATTGCATGTGCTCCTGCCATTCCCACGTTTCTTTCACCACCATCACCCCACCTAAAGCACTCCTGATTGCCTCAAGAGGAGTGAGCCCATCACCTCAGACTCGTAAGGATCCGCCCAACACATGGCTGTGACAGCATCCTGGCGACCAGGTGCCACGTCCCCCAGTTTATAGTTTGTGGCCTGTTTCTTCTGCAGGTTGATTCCTAAAAGGAAAAGAAAAGAAAGGGGTATTAACACAGGCGGATGGCTAACCCTCCCCGTGCACTATAACCCAAGGGAGTGACAGACTGCACAGCAGCCTCTCACAACCTTCTCATTCCTTTCCCTTCAACTGTAGGTAAGGTTTTTTTTAAACAAGCCTCTATAATTGTGGATTTGACATGCAGAAGTGAACAAGCAACATTTGCAAGAGCCCAATAGCTGCAGAGAAATTCAAGACCCCATTAAAAGTGCACCCCATTAAAACAGCTGAAAAGGTGGCAACCCACCCTGAGTTCCACTACTCTTGGTAGAAAGCCAGCACAACTCAAGTCAGCAAACCCACAATCAACAACAAAGCCTTCTGCTGGGTCTGTCCCCACAGAAAGCCTCCGTAATATCTACTTTTGCATTTCTATCTCCACTGTATCTAATAAGATAGACCTGGTGGAGTCCCAACTTTCCAATCTCACTAACAGTCCCAGGAATCCTCTGGGCACAGCGGCAGATGAGGACAACTTCCAAACTTGCTGCCTCTCCCTAGCACTAGATAGTCAAAGTTACTCTGCCTCTAAACCTGGAATTTCCACCGAATTCTCATCGCCAGCAGCCACGTCTATGGGGTCGCGAAGAGTCGGGCACGACTTTGCGACTGAACAACCACCACCCATCACCTCGCCAGCCCTCGTGCTTCTATTCCTTCCTCGAGTACGTCTCTCCCTACTGCTCTTTGCCCACGACCAAGGCACTCTTCATGTGCTCAGTGGCACTCAGCCCAAGGACCCGACACGGGTGTGGAAGGCCTGCGGACGGGAGCGGGCGACCCCAACTACCCCCCCCCAAGAGGCGCCGCCTCCTTCGCCTTTTACCTTTCAGGAGGCCCGTTTCGGCTCCGACCCACACGTGGTTGCTGCGCGCAGGAGACGCCATGCCGGCTTTCACGCCGGCCGCGCTCCACCCCGGAAACTGCTTGGGGCGGACGCCTTAGGAAGACACACCAGAACGCGGCCGCGGCACCTGATTGGCCAGCGCGGCTCTTCTCTGCGTCTCCTTCATAGTCTTCCGTCTTGAATCCTACTCCCCGTGCCATAAGGTCCCCTCACGTTCCGGGCCGAAGGCAGAATTCGAGCCAGGGGCTCTTTCGGGAAGTTTCTTGCCTTCTTACCCCGCCAAGTGCCCCCAGCGAGGGAGGGAGGGAGGGAGGGGGCTGTGCAGGTGCTTGGAACTTTGTGTGCCTTGAAACTGCGCAAACATTCAACTGTACACACGCCCTGGGAGCCCGTCATGGACTTCAAACAGGAGATAGGATTAACATGGTGGAACTCGTGCAAAGGAATCAAAAATCCTTCTGCCAGCTTGCTTGCTGGTTAATCCCTTTGGCACCTCTGACCCGGCCTAACAATGTAACCTAAAGCGCGCATGCTCGGTAGTAGCTCCCACTGAGTTCAACGGGAGCCACTACCAAGTCTATTATTTATCGCATTTTTTTCTTGCTCCACCACCACAAGTTTATCAGTGCATCTTGATTACAATCAATTAAAAAGGCAGTTCCTCACCTCAGACTTACAGTCTAAAAACCCAAGACATGGAACGGGGCGGGAGGATATGGGTGCAGAAAGGGAGAAAAGCAAGTGATCTTTTAGCATTAAAGGTTAAACAATCCCTCCTGCTTTGTCATCTCCGTCTTGTTGAAATGCAAGACTAAAGCTACAATTTTGTACATACAGTCTCACAAATATGTGGTCAACCTGCCTCAAGAGATAAATGCTGGACTAGTCCGTCCTTTATTTGAGCCACTGGCTCTTAGTGCTGAATCCAATTGTCACCTGGTAAGAAATAGGGAGCCCCAAGGTGCGCTTTTCTTAAATGGTGTGGCACTTCTTTAACTGCAACCTTTAAGATCTGGGACCTCAATTAAACCAAGGTCTAAAGCAACACTGTTCATACAGATCTAGGGAATACTGGAATTAGTCAAGTTTAAGGCTTGCCTTTTTCATGAGATCTTCCTTGTGCTCATGAAGTGGTTTCTGCCTGTCCTGCTTAAACCGAGCAAGTCAAGCTTTCCTTCAGCACTTTTATCTGGACCCCAAATACAGCAAGCAGGAGAGACCGCCAGACACCCTTCCCACAATTCTTCAGGTTGCAGCTTCTGATGTTTCCTGAGCGGCATACCAAAAATAAGACATGGAAATGAAGGATGTTCTGTTTGTTACTTTTTGGAGCCAACAAAGTGTCCAGTCACCAACTCCCAGCTGCACCTACTTTACAAGGTTGTTGTGAAGATAAAATGGAGACAACTATGTAAACCACTGGGTTCTGTGACGGGAGATGGCATTCAAATACACAAGCTGCTCATGGTTACCTGCATTGAATCCCCTCTGCCATTATAACCTCACAACAGCCCTGCGAGATACTGTGCAGGGCAGCCTAAGGGCTGATTCAAGGTTATCAGCCCTTAGGCTGATAAGCACCTGAGCAAAGATCTCAGCTAAATAGATGAGAGATGATCTATGCTAGAGAGTAACTTTTTCCACTTTCTTCATAGTTAAAATGTCCGTTTGGCCTGAACTGTCCCAGCAACCTTTGGTGAACTTGCAAGGCTGTGATTCTCACCTGTTCAACTGGGTGTACATTCCATTGAACTCAGCGGGGCTTAATACTCAGAATTCACATTGTTTTTCATAGTAGTACTCATTAGGCGACTGGTGGAGGAAAGCCCTTATTCTGCGTGAGAAAGGAATCCATAAAACAGATCTGTTTTAGGAGAATTGTGTTAGCTGCTTTTTCATTGGTGAAAAGTGGGATATAAATAAATCTGCTTCTGTCCTTTGGGTACCTTTCTGGCAGTAAAATAAATGGTGGAAATGCTTTCAAGTGTTGGCACAACAGTTTGCCCGTTTCTGTTCTCCTGCATCAAAAGTGGGTGCAATAAATGAATACTTCATTCGAGGCTGAGCCGATTTATTTCCAAAGCCTCAAACATCATGAGAATGTAAGATATTTATATTCCATCACCTCTGCCTCCAATTCTACATAGCTGTGTATGGAGGGGCAATCTTTTAGTCCAGGTCTTAGGCAAAGCTCTTTTCCAAAAACATCTCCAGGTTAAGACCCAAGATACAAACGGAAGGAATGGATTGAGAGAATAGGAGCAGAGAGGCCTGTGCAGAGGCCAAACAGGGAAAGCAGCCAATACGATGGGGGTAAGGAAGCCGCAATATCCAGCCCTAAGTAGGTAGACTGGACATTTCCCCATTTCAAGGCTTCCCTCAGCCTCTGCTAAGATTTCCTCTGCAAAGAAAAAGCCCCCAATAGTTTTTTTCCAAGGGAGCTGAGGTGCACAAGAAACTTTCCCCCCTCACCTAGTGATAGCAGCAGGAAAGAAGTCTATCAACAGCCAGCCCTTTGCACGGACTCAGGAACCCTCTGTTCTCAGGGGCTTCGTCCCTCCTTGTGCGGTTCTCCTTCAGTTCCTTAGCCTTTTCTCCTCTTTTCCCCTGGTGACACTAATACCGTGTGTGACGCTTGGGGGGGCTGTGATATTAAATGGCCAATTAGAAATGGAGACTGACATCAGGGCTGCCCTGATAGCATCTCGGGGGCCTGGCGGCCTGGAAGGAGCTGCACCTGTGGGTCTCCCACCCTCTGCTGCCAGCGGATGCAAGGTCTGTCTGTCCCCCAGGTCAGGTCAGGTCAGGGCAGGCCAGTCTGGGGGCCGAGCCCTTGGTCCCGAGGCAGGCCCCGCCACAGCGTGGCCAGGAAGGGCGGGCAGCGCAAGCTCAGCTGCAGGGCCTGGCAGGCCTTCTCCTCCGGACAGACGGCCCTGAGGCACATCTCTGCCTCCGGGCCCCCTTCGGCCTTGCGGAAGGGCTCCGTCACGTCGACCCGCATGCCGCACGCAGCATCGTTCAGCAGCCTCGTGCCCCGGTTCCCCGGCCGGACCCGCAGGTACTGCTGCAGCGAGGGTGGGGCGGTCAGGAGCAGCCGGTAGGGTGGCGGCAGGCCCCCGTCCGGAGGCTGCTCCAGGTTGAGGAGGACAAACGCCTTGGTGAGCCTCTCCCCCTTCTGGCAGCGAAGGCGTAGCATCCAGCAAAATTCGTGCTCCTCACCTGCGAAGGAACAGAGACGGGTTGGCAAAGCTACTCTGCAACAGGCAGAAGGGGCAGGCGGGAGCTTGCAGGAGTTTGGGGGATCAGCCGCTCCCCTCAAAGGCCAGGGTCCACCGGGGTCCAGCCCTTTCCCTAGCGGGCAGAAGTCAGCTAAACCTAAGGCAGGTTTAGGTTTAATCAATAGAAATCATAAAGGTGAAAAACATAAAAGGCAGAATAAAAAAATAATAGAGGTGTATTGGACCCTTTTTTAACCTAAGGCCTGCATTTAATCTCAAAGACTCTCTGAGACCACATGCTAGCGGTGAGCGGGGCCAAGAGCGAAACAGGACAACGGAAAGGGGGACTGGGCACCAATGCCCAAGTTACAGCCTGTTTTAGCTCGAAGCCCCCAGGACCAGCAACACGGCCTTCGGAGAAGAGCTCGAGCCCTTTCGGAGAAAGCAAGCTTTTCTGTCTATGAGCCCCATTCAATTCTGCTGCTCAGAAGATTCCTGGATCCAGAATTCTTTAATTCTAAGGGATTGTCTTTCGCTCTGGGACTCGGGTGGATCTCGGGGTTCTAATGAAAAGCATCCAGGAAGCAGATCCTGCGGGTCTGAAGGCTGCCCCCCTGCATGGCAGCTCTCCATCACTGCGCCTCATCCTCAAAGGAGCCCCGAGAACCAGCAGCCTAGGAGCTCCCGGGACACAGCAGAGCCCCACTGGCGTTGCCGGCTGTTGCTTTGGGAGCTCCTCTGCGCAAACCGTGAACCTCCCTCCTCGGGGGCGCAGGAGATGCTCTTTTTGGCCCTTTTCCCCACTCGCTGTGCAAAGGCAGCGGGCTGGGGCAGCTGCTCTCTCTCATCACCGGCACGAATAGGAGCCGACGGGCAAGCAACTCGCCGTGGCTGCAGGGAGCCACTCCGGGGCGACTGCCGGCAGACCCCTGGCGATGCCTACCTGGACGCCAGCCCCACACGCAAAGGCGGAGACTGCGGGCCCCTCCCCGCGGCCACCCGATTGGCTACAGCGAGCCTCCAGGCCGGTGGGACCTCCTCCCCTACCTTCCGTGCCTTCGTTGAGCTTCAGCGAGGCTGTGGTCTGGGTGCCGGCCATCTGGCGCATCGCCTGGGCGGCGCACCGCAGCATGCAGGGGCTGAGCCGGGGCACTGGGCGCCGCTGCCCCTCCTCCGGGTCCGCCGGGCTCTCATCCGGCGGGCACGGGTCCTGCGGGCGGGAGGTCGGGGGCTCTGTCGCGGGCGCCTCGCCGGCCAGCCAGGCCAGAGCGGCCGCCGCCAGCAGCAGGCCCAGCCAACCGCGACCCATCGCCAGCCGTGGGGGCAGATGCCGCGTGTCCACGCATGGGACGCCGGAGGGAGGCGGGTGGGCTGTGGCGGGATCCGGCCGCCTGGACAGGCCTGGCCTTGTCTGTGCTGAACCTGCCCGCGTTTCCTCGCCCAGCCAGCCGCTGGACGGGTGCCTGGAGGGGCCCGGGTGCCAAAGGACGCTTTTAGAGGAGAAGAAAGGCGGTGACAGTGCGCGCGTTGGGGGGCTGGCTTACATACTGGGCAACTTGCAGGGCCTTCTCAAGGCCAGGGGAGTGACCCAGCTCCTCCTGCAGCTTAACCCCTTCCTGCATCCGGACACGCAGGGGCTGCGGCGCCTGCCCGGGGAACCGTCGCGACAGTGAGCCGCAGCCCCGGCTGGGCCTCTTGGCCCTCACCTTCCGCTGCCGCTGGACCTCCTCCCCTGCAGCAAGACGGAGGCGGCCTCCCCCTCCTTGCTGGGCACTTGCCAAGGCTCGGGGTGGGTGGGGTGCAGCCCTGTGGGGAACCTGCCGGCTCCACCGTCCCTCTTGCTGCAGAAGCTGCACCCTCCCTCGGACTGGGAATGCCAGCGGGGCCAGAAGGAACCACGAAGCCTTGAGGCTTGCTACACCTGTAATATTTTGAGCAGGTGCTGAGAGATGTGGCACGAACACAGCTCAGGAAGCCGAATCTGCGATCGTCCCCCAGAGTTCTCTTTCCAGAACCCAAGAGGGAAGCGGGCGCTGGGGGTTTGAGTGCCGGTGGGGAACCATTCACTGCACAAACTGCCTCAGAAAGCGGGAAGCCCCCAACTCTCTGAAGGACTTGAAAGAGTGCATCCACTGAAGTCCCAAGGCAGCAGGTGGAAATGAGCTCTGCCAGTTGTTTGGCTGTTTAACTGAGGTCCCGCTTGTGAAATTGTTCTTTTCTGAAGACTGCTTTCAGCCAGCTTCAACATTGGCTTTGCCCACCCCCGTCCCAGCAGTGTCAAGAAAGCAATTTGGGAATAAACCCTTTTGAAACGCGAGTGCTGCCCAAATGAGGAAAGCAAGATAGCATGAACCTGCACCACAGAGATGCAAAAATGCATTTTGGGGGGCCCTATTATGATCCAGGTCAGCAACAAAAGTTGTTTAAACTGACAAGAAGTCACAATTTAGTCAGCTAGGGAAGCAGTTGGACCACAGAATAATGGAATTAAAAATGTACTAAAGATGAGAATGCAGAGGCAAAGTTTGTTTCATGTTTTCTTGGCAGATATAGGATGGGATACCTGGACTACAAGTGAGGTTTCCAGGAAGAGACTCAGGAACCAAGGTAAAAGATGGTGGCCACCTTATTGAACTCAAAACCAATAAACCACCAAGGCTACTTAAATGTATAATTGCTGATCAAAAGCGTGTAACATGCTGCTAAGATGCATAGGACTGGAGAAAGGCTGTTGCGCCAGTTTTTAGCAAGTTTATCCAGGCAGGTTGATTCAAAACATGTTCCATGTCAAATGGCTCCAAACATTACTGAAGATCAAATTAGAAAGCATAGAGGACAAGGCCTGCCGATTTGAAAGGAGCAAGCAGCCAAGTTATGCCCAGAATGCTTTAAGCTTAGAAATGAGGCTATTAAAGCAAGCCATGATGGAAGTAAACAAAATTACACATGGATAGTAAGAGGGCAATAAGATGCTCTTCTCCCTTTCATAATGATGGAGCATGTAGGGGTCATTCACATGAAGCCGGCTGGTGGGAAATTCTGGACACAGCTCAAGTATGGAATTCCCTTCCACAAGATGGAGTGATGGCTGCCAATTTGGATGGCTTTGGGATTGGAGAAATTCATGGAAAGACGACCAGTATCTTATGCCACTTCTATGGTGGTTGCTGGGGAACATGGGCGGAAAGCAGGTGTTGAACTCAGATCCTGCTTGCAAGATTCCCGCAAAGCAAGCTGGTTGGCCACTGTGTGAACAGAAAGCTGGACTGGTCTGATCCTGCAATGGCTCTTCTTAACCATGCAGGATTTCCATTGTAGTGATAAGCCTAACAAGGTTATTTAATGAGGAAAAAGTGAACCTGTTTAATAAAACTGCAAGAAAATGTGTATTCACTTAAGGGATATTCAGAATGTGGACACTGAAAGGGAACGGACTTCCAACCACTTTTTATTAAACATTCTCAATGTTTCTGAACGAGTTTGAAAATGGTATTTCTGGGGAAAGATTTGGACCGCTTTACAAAGGTTCAAAGCTTCATGTAGCATTTGTATCTTTGAGGAATCAGTCCCAAATTCCACTACCGTGGAATACTTAAAAAGTTATCTTAGTTCTCAAGTACTGATGAAGGTCAGTAAATAGCATTTTCACGTCCAAAGTCTGCCTCATGTTTGTTGTGTAATAATCCTGAAGCTCTGAGGAATCTGAGGATTATCTTCTCCCACATGATGTTCTAGACTTCAGGGCTATGAACTCTCCTTCCAAAGGAATGGAAGGGCCAAAATAGCCAACCATGTCGATACCTTGCTGATAACAGGTGTCGGCAGCTGTCGTTTACCTGCGTATGGAGGGGGGAGAGGAAGAAAAGTCCAAGGAAGATAAGCTGCCGGAGATAATCCGGACTAGGTTTACCCAGACTGCTGCCCTTCTGATCCAGAGGTGCTGAGCTTCTTTCCGCCCAAAGGTCAAATTCCTTCTTGGAGTTCTTGGTGGTGGGCGAGGCAGAAGCAAAAGGGTCAGGGCGAAAGATGCAAGCATGCTTTAACTTGCCACGTCAACGTTTTCCAAGGGACAAAGGAAGCCCAAAAGCCAACACAGGACAGGCGGTCAGAAGCAGGAGGTTGCAGCCGCCTGGGGGTTCCCAACAGGCCTGTGGCTCTGCTCCTGATCCCATCAGACGGTTCCTTCTGGAATGGAGGCTCCTCCTTTCGCTCTGCTGGCCACCAGTGGGTTCAACCTTCACAGGCTCTGGTGGCCAGGCAGGCTCTAAGACACGGCAGGAACTCTTCCTAGGGACTTGCCTGTGTTCCACGCTACCCCCCCTCAGCCTAGGATGCTCAGCTTTGCATTACGACTCTCACCTGCTGGATACAGAGGGCCTTGCACTGGTCCAAACAGGAGTGCGGTGTGATCATTGAAGGGAACAGCAGAAACCCCGCATGATCCGTTTTCACTTTTAAAACAGGGGGGGAAAAAATCAGCATAGTCAGCTTTCCTGGCCCTTGGCAGTGGGGGAAAAAAACCTCCAAATTTTATTTATCTAATTTGTACCTTGCCTTTCCAGCAGGAAATTGTTACTCAAAACATTTAAGAGTCAGAAGGGCCAAGATATTAAAATAGAAGCTTGGTTACAAGGGTTTAATTCAATGCATCAAAATAGTTAAAAGCTGCAATACACTTAAGAAAACAGACTTTGTAAAAATATTATTAGAGTCTTGTATTTCATGCTAAAGTTAGACATTAAATTGTTTTGATAAATTAATGTGTGGTTAAACCTTAACTGAGAACTTATGGATTTAGCTGTGGCTAGAGATAGCAATGTTTGATTTCTCCTGAACAGGTTATATGTGTTAGATTTCTGTAATATCTTTTGTTATCCCTTTTCTTCTTCCTACTTTTTCCTTTCCTTATGTTTATCTTTTTTGTGAAAATGAAAAAAAATAGTTTTAGCACACGCGCGCGCACATACACACACACACTTGGGCAGTGCCTGGATTAGGAGCAACCAAAATGCCACAAAGACTTTTGAATCTTGTTGGCGTCATGAAATGAAGCATCCAACTCATCTCTCATCCAGACGCATTTTGCTGCCTCAGAGGGACCACTCAGTCACAGAAATCAGACTGGGGCGGTAAAGGTCTCATCACAGGAGCCGGTCTGGAAGAGAGATGAGGGGCATGCGTCCGCACTGGCCAGAGCAGCAGTTCCATTCTTAGGAGGAGGGCAAATTCTCACCTCTGCTCAGGGTGCTGTTCAAATTTCTGTCTTGCTTCAGCCGTTCAATCGCCTGCGGGAGATGGGCAGGAAATGACAACAGAGGAAAGGTCAGCCAAGGTTCATTCGCAGCCTGGCACACAGAATCCCACCCACACTACCCGACGAATTAGCAGTTTCTCAGCTGTTCCAATGTTTTCACGGCTTCATATGAAATCAAAGTGAGCTAGTTAGACTCATCATTAAAACTGCATCTGCTCCTCTCCCCTCCTCCCTTGCGCAACAGGGACGGTGAGAGGCTTTGGGGGCGTTTGCGAGGGCAGTGGGGGCTTGAAAGATTGTGCAAAAAGGAACTGGGCAGCACTGTGTAATTCAAGTCCCTGGTTGTGCATCACGAAAAGCTGTGCCTGGTTCCATCTCTGGCATTGAGCAAGGGCTGGAAAAACCCCTGCCAAAGGCCCGGGAGGGTTTCTTAGCCAAACTGAGTTAGTTCAGCTCAAGCAAGGCAGCTGTTGATGCTTTGGGCAGAAGGGGTTAGTCTTTTCTGGGTATGTTAAGCAAGCTGGAGTTGGCAGCATAAATGAGACCTTCCACATGGCAAACAAGTTGGCCACACAGTCCTGGACACTTACCGGTCGAGTCTTTCTCGCAAGCGGAAGCTCGGCATTCACAGCTCACCGTCCTGCAGGGAGGAGAGTTTTAAGTATTAAATAAAAAGGACAAACAAATTCTGGCAAGAAGTTCCCTCATTGCTAACGGCCTTTGACAGAAAGTTTAGAATGCAAGTAAGAATGCAGCACTGGGGCATGACATTCTCCCAGAGAACCAGCAGAGTTCAGACTTATGCTTCTTCCTAGAGCTGACTTGGAATTTTCAGCTAGGGGTTCTTTTTAAATAAAGAAAATGGTTCTCCCAGACCTTCTACACAAAACTGTTCCTGGTTAAAACCCCTTCCATCAGCAGCATTCACTTCTGCAGTAAAATTGCAGCTAGCATTTCTCATCTTCACTCCCAGGGCAACAGCTGCCCAACACCCTAACCACTATGCTACACTGCTTCCATTATAGATGCTGGCATTTCTTTCTGCCCAGCCCTAGTATATACCCAACCTGGAATGAGGTTACTCAGACAGACCAGGGTGATTTATACACATTTTTGCTCCAGCTCCATAAAGGTTTAATTGGCGCCAAGAGCAGAAGCAGAGGGAGGGGCAGGCAAGTATTTGGGTCGAAAACTGGATGCAGCACAGCGCCCCGCACCCCCCGGGAAAGCTTTGCTCCCAGCTGATTCTCAGATTCCGCTTCTCAACACTGACATTCAGCCGAACGAGATTCCAGAAGAGTTCATCATGCCAGTGGGAGCTGCGGCATGTCACCTCAGGGTCCAAAGAAAGAAGCAAGGAAAGTTTAGAACTATAGGCAAACTCACCCTTCTTCCTCCGAACAGCCGGGCCAAGTTTGTCTCACTTCCTCGGAAAGATGCTTCAGCAACTGGTTGAGGAAATACAGATTTGGTAGTTGTCAGAACACAAAACATGGAAAAGCTGTAGCTTTCTCGCCTCTTCTGGGAGAGGCTGGGATCAGACCCAGCACCTCCTGCAGTGGCTGTACCGCTCCGGTATAGCCCTCCCTCTCTTGACTCAAGTCCCATCAGACTGTTCCTTCAGGAGCAAAGGCTTCCTCCTCTCCCTCTGCTGGCCCCAGTGGGTTCAACCTTTGCAGGTTCTGGGGCCAGGACAGAGGGTAAGACGCAACGGGTTTTCATCATCGGGACCTAGGCCAACGTTCCTCCAACCTGACAGCCCTCCGGACGTGCTGGCCTTCAAGTCCCATGCTTCCCGGGCAGCTGTGGGCCCATACATCTGGAGGGGCATTCAAAGTGTGGGGAAGCTCTTGCAGGCTCAGGACAAGTTCCTACCCCTCCTATCAGGCCAAAGTCTCCCTGGGCGGTGCACAAAGCAAAGAGACAAAGGACAGGGGAACCTCTAACCAGGGAAACAGCACTTCCCGAAAAGCAAAAGCCAGACACCCTTGGCCGGGCCCACCTCCTTTCCCTAGAAGGCGGAAGAGGGCACGGAAGCAGGTAAGGCCAGGAGAGGCTTCTGAGGTCTCCTGCACAGGAGCTGGTCTTGCTCTAAATGCCCCACTTCAAATCCTTAACCCACCAGAACTATGATTTGGGTGAGTTTCTGGAACAAGACTGCGGCCTTTTGGCGCAAAAGGGCATCAAGAATTTTATCAAGTGACGGGTAAAGAATGAGGAGTAGCCATGTCCGCACTCACCAGTTCTGGCCCTGAGAATATCCCCTGAAAAGGAAATAAAAGGGGGTCCAGTCAGCCAAAGCAAGGTCAGGACGGGGGGGGGGCACTGCTGTGGGCGGAAGGAAAGAGCAGTTTGATCAGGGCTTTGGTAACTCCTGCCATGCGACTTTCCGTCGTCCATCCACAGTCGTCATCATCTCAAACTGGAAAGCCAAGCACTGAAGGTCGGGATCTTAGCAGTCCAGGCTTTCAGAAGATACAACCCCACCCCACGCACCCCCAAGTGCAGCCTCAACTGCTGAAGTCTACGACCGTACCTCTAAGGGACTTCACAAAGCGCCGGTCCTCATGAAGGAAGGAGCAACCTGAAATTAAGGAAACGGAAATGATTTCACGCGCCCAACTCAACGCTTCCCCCCTCGAACAGGAATGCTTTGTGTTCTCAGACAAAGAGTGGCATCACCGGAAATCAGATATATGCTTGTCTGTTTCTATTCATCACTGAACACAAGAAAGAGGCAGGGCCAAGCCCAGAAACAGCAACTTGCTGGCTGGGAGTTCTCACTAAGTGCAGTAAGTCTGGCAAGGCCTCAAGGAAAGGTTGAAAGCCAAGCCTCTATCATCTGGAGAACCTGTGGACCTCCAGACACCATTGACTCTAACTCCCATCAGCCTCAGCCAGGAGAGCCAACAGTCAATGGGGGACAGGAGTCCTGCTTCTTCTCCACTCTTATCAGTGCAATTTATTTCTATACCAATCCAAAGCTGAGGTTCAGCTTGTCACATGCTCTCCATGGTTTGCAGAGCAACCAGTGGAGACACTAGCTGAGGCTGATGGGACTTGTGGTCTGGAACATCAGCAGTGCACTAGATGGTAGAAGACTGATACAGAGAATGATGTCCCAAGATGGAAAAACCAACTGAACAAGTGAAGTGACCGTTCTTACTGCCCTCCATAAGAGACACCAGGAAGCAAAGCACCCGGAGGGGGGCCTTCTCTGTGGTGGCGCCCCATCTGTGCAATGCGCTCCCCAGAGAGGTCCGCCTGGCGCCGTCGTTTGTTTTTCGGCGCCAGGCCAAGTCCTTTTTATTCAAACAATATTTTAACAATGTTTAATATTTATATGTTTTACTTGTGCAGCCAGGGTGTTTCCGGGTTTTTATTGTATTGTATTATATTTATGTATTTCTGTGAGCTGTCCCGAGGCAGCTCACAGGGGACAGCATACAAAAAAGCACAAATAAACAACAATGGTGGTCCGCCATTACATGAGCAAGCTAAGGGGGCATCTACCCTAGTGTACCCCAACGATGGGATCAAGGGCTGACCAGGAAAAACACTGAGCCTAGAAGCTGAAGTGGGGAGAAACAGCAAGTGTGTAGAAGTCCAGCAGTAGTCGAAGATGAAGAGTTATGGCTACAAAGTGCAGTAATTTCTTTGTCATGAAGGAGCAGTTCGTGGAATGCCCAACGGATGCAACACTAGGGAGCCTTGATCTAGCAGATGTGCCCTGGGAATTCTGCACCACCGTGATCAGAAGAGACTGAATACTCACCTCGACAGACACGTCCTGGACAACTCCATCACCTGCAAAATGGAAAAGGGCACATAAACCCATCCTTTTTTAATTACAGTGTCTTCAGTTATTAAGGAGGCCATGCAAGTATTGAAATGGGGGGTCATGCTACTCAACCCTACTCCAAAGATTTTGCTACCGCAGTTTGGCAAAAGCTCCCCCCATCTTTTCAGAAAAGCCTGGAGGCCAGTGCTACTCAGAATCTGGTAAAGGGTTTCTCCACGGAAGCTTCAGAAAGAGAGAGTTCCCGCAGCTCATCCCCGTAGCACAAATCACTTCCCACCAATGTACTCCCAGAAGGGGCTGTCTAGAAGGCCGGACTCCACAGCCTACTTCATACGCGAAGGAGCCAGGTGCATGCAAACAGCCATTTTCAGTATTCAAACCACGGCTGAACCAGACGGGTGTGGGCTGTGCCTAGGTTAAACAGCCACTGCACAACCCATGGATTCTTTTAGGATCCTGGGCAAGTTTTTCAGTCATAACCCAACTTTGTGGGGTTAGAACACATACAAGGGTCATGTGCAATGCTCTGGGCTACTTGGAGGAAAAGCATGGGCTGTTACTGTAACCCAAAATAAACAAACAAGCACACCTGTAGGTCAGACTCCAATACTGCAGAAAGACCTGCTTATAACATTTTAGTTTAAGTACAAGTTATTGAAGACTGCATTAATTACCAGTTTCCACCAATGATCTGTTTTCATATCTCCCCCTGCCTATACTGATTAACTCAAGTAAGTCTATAAAATAGTTACCATTAGGAAAAAAAATAAAGCCATCTTCTCAGCTTGAAGGTAACCAAGTTCAAGAAGATAACCACAGTTATCTTCCACTCCATTTCATCCACAAATCTGAAGTGATCCATGCATAACTGCCATGAGGCTCCAAAAATCCCTCTGCAAGATAGACAGGATCCTGTGGCATGATTCCACCCATTGCTGAAAAGGTAAGATTCCAGAAGGTTAAGCTGAGCCAGTAAGAGAAGTAATCTGCCAGGACTTAGACACTTTCATTATTCTTTTAGCTGGTACAGTTTGACTACCAACCTCAGAAGTAATTTTTGCAACCCAGATCTGGAACACTAAACCCTGGCTGCTCTAACCAAACTAGACAACCTATGGAACTGGGGTCCGTTTCATTAGAATCATGACGACTCATATCCAAGATTGCAGAAGTAACCTGAAGATTTGCAAACATGGATGTTCAAGGCACGAGACAACAATCATTACACCAATACCAAGCACTCTTTTTTTTAATACCAAAAGTCACAACGGCGAATGAACAAGACACCTCTCTCAAGGAGTTACAATGACTGCAGATTCTCCAACATCCTTTTAATGAACAATTACGGGGGTGAAATAACAAGCATTCAAATTGCACAGAATTCTTGTCAAGATGACGTCTTCTGCTCCATGAGTCAAGCCGAAGCTTGCAACTTTTTGGAAAAAGACTTCCCATACACCAGAAACTTAACACCCAACCCAGCAAGCTAGAAAGATGAGGTAACAGCTCAGATAAATCTCTATCTCACCTGTAAAGAAAAAGGCAGGCATCTTGCAGATCTGAAGAAGAAGTTAGAACAGTCATCAGCAACCAGAGCTTGAATGTAAAAGCATTCGACAAAATACAGAAGGCAGCAATTTTCTCAGAAACTAACGGACGTCCACACAGAACATTTCAGTACAGGTCTGTGTAAAGTTTCATCATAGAAAGACTAGTTTCAAAATCCTGTCCAAAATAGCAAGGGCCCAATGCTCTCCCCATGTATGGCTAGAGAATTAAAAGCAATGTTTAAAAAATACAGAGAACCACAATGGGAGACCTCATATAAGTAAAAAAGGCAGCACACAAATTTGGCTGCAGCATTACAAAGAGCAGAGAAGGGACAAGTGGCAAGGGAGTATAAATTACACAAATTAGCGCTGTCCAGATGTTTTAGGATTCCAACTTCCTTCAGCTCCAGCCATAAGCAGAGCCAAGAATGCTGTGGGTTGTAGTTTAAAATTTCTGGAACGTTCCAAGTTGGGTAAAATGGTTGTAGAAAAAGGCCTAGATAAGGAGATCTGCAGAAACCTTTAAAATTAAGATATCTCCACACAAATGCTTGAATGTTAAACATCCCCGAATTTGATGAGATTCCCAGTAAAATGTGGACACATTGTATTGTAAAGTTGCAACCCTCTGTACACATAATCACTGAACACAAATAGCTTCGGTTACTTATTTCATTCACTGCTACACTACTCCATAGTCCAGTCCCTCTTAAAAGTCCCAACACCTTCATTTATACGAATTTAAGGAGCCTTTTTTGCAGAATACGAGCACACCCGCAGTTGCCTTCCGCTGCCTGCTTGCTCGGGAGCAGCGCCAGAGCGCGCGCTGGGCCGAGGCGTGCGGTCCTCGTCCTCCGCAGGGCGCCCGCTTTCGGCAGGCAGAAGGCCCGCCGCCCTTTCCGGGTTCGGGGGCCACGGAGCTCAGCAATATCCCCAGGGGCAGGAGGAGCCAGCGGGACCGAGGAGGCCCCGCCGGTCTTGCGAGGCCCGGCGACCCGCAGGCCGCGGATGGTGGCGGATGGCGGCCCGTCCCCCGCTTACCTGCCACCGCGACGGGTCCTCTAAGAAAAGAAATAGGAGTTGCCCGCCAAAGGGTTAAATACTTAGCGGCATGGTGCATGACGGGAAAGTCTCTTTCCCCCGCCCCTTTCCTAACGGCCTCCGTTCCTTCCGCCATACAATGAGCTCGGAGGGAGAGCGCTTGCGCTCTTCCTTACCACCCTCCGTGAAGGAACGTGACCATAGAGATAGACAGTCTTAGGTATTCGCCTTATGTTGCATACTATTTGAGAGATTTCACTTCATATAATTGACTTTTCATAGCTAGTCCGCACTTACCTGTTAGAGTCCTACTAATAAAATGCTTCAAATTAAAACTTTTTCTTTATAGGGAGCTGCGAGGACAGTGCTACATGCGTACATTAGAAATGGCCACCCGCGGCCATTTCATATCTCCATAATGTCGGGCTTGCTGTGTTAGCGGAAGTTCAGCCTACTTTTTACAGTTAGTATCTCTATGGTATACTGCCGGTAAGCGGAAGCGAGGGAAAAAAAGGCGCGCGCGGATCGCACCGCGCAAGCGCAATGGCATAAGTGCCAAAGGATGGCGCATGCGCATTGAAGTGGATCGCTGGAGGGAAGACTGAGGAATCCAACTTTTTTTCTTTTAGCATAATTTTGACTCACTGGCGGAGTCCGTCATAACAATAGTTATGCATCCGTTATAGATTACACCTCGCCCTGTTACCAGTGCCTGGCTCTGAAGCTTATGAAGCACTAGGAATGCCAGTGCATTTCAGCATGTGCAGAGTGCTCCACTGAACATAGATGCAAGAGAACTCAATGGGCTGTTCTTCCTCACTGAAGAGTTTTGAGGGATTTGACCCGAGGCGCCTTCAACGCAGTGTGTGTCTGTTGGGCAACTTGTGGACTTCCAGATGCTTTGAAGAATATGAGCCCTGTTGCCTTTGTAGCCAGCCGCTAGAAAGTCTTTCTCAGGAAGGATCTTATTCTTGCATCTTACCTCGTGCATGATCCTGTCTGAGGACCCCGTTGTCAAGCAGAGGAACAGCAAAGTTGGTGGATGGGTAGCCACATGTCCAGGAAACAGGGAAAAGTTGTCCATCCTGGTGCATGAAACTCCAGCATTTTAACACATCTCTGCTGCACCCAGTGAACAAGCATAGATGTGGCAGATCCTTTTCTAAAAATCAAGCTTATTATTGAAAACGCAAGCAAAAAAAGCACGCTTGGATCAACACCAACCAATGCTTCGTGGATAGGGCCAAATGAGAAGCTCACAACAGCTTGCGACATAAAAAAGAGAAACTACCGGGAAATTGGAACTACCAGGCTCTGCTAAAAATAATCTCGTTGGTGTAGCCTTTTCCATTCTGCATGGCTGCTGGGACAGAATATAAACCAAGGACCATTTCAGGACTATCTCCCCTAAATGAAAAGAAACAGCAAAATAAAGGGCATACGGAGAGCATTTAAAGCTTTGAGCTGCGCTTTACGGACACTCCCGTCCCAGTCGTGCTGGAGAAAGTATGGAAACGTAGGAACATTTGATCTGTATGCACGGTGTTACTCCTGAAATTAGGGCCTTCTAAATGGCAGTTCTTGGCTTTATGACGCACGTGACAGTAGAGGCCACCGTCCCCGTTTTCTTCCTCGCTCTCGGATCCACAGCAGACAATGTACGGGGCAACTCACGCATCACGTGCTCATGGCTGCACCTTCGTATGCAGAGCAGCGAGAGAAACTCAGTTCGGCATTTTGCAGGGCTGGATCACCAGAATACAAGCAATGCTTTCTCAGAAAGATGGAATGATTCTACATCAGGGTAGAACAGTGGACCATAACCCCCCCAAGGGAGCAGAAGACATTCTAGAAAACGTAGGGGTCATTTGTGGGGCATTATTCAGAGACCACATACTAGAAAGCAGAGGCGTCACCCTGCCAACCAAAGTGCGTATAGTCAAGGCGATGGTTTTCCCAGTTGCAATGTATGGCTGTGAAAGCTGGACCAGAAGGAAGGCTGAGAGCCGAAGGCTTGAGGCCTTTGAATTGTGGTGCTGGAGGAGACTCCTGCGAGTCCCTTGGACCACAAGGCGATCAACCGGTCAGTCCTAGAGGAGATCAACCCTGACTGCTCTTTAGAAGGCCAGATCGTGAAGATGAAACTCAAAAACTTGGGCCCCCTAATGAGAAGGAAGGACTCCCTGGAGAAGAGCCTGATGCTGGGAACAATTGACGGGAAAAGAAGGAGGGGGCGGAAGAGGGTGAGGGGGCTGGGTGGGGTCCCTGAAGCAGTCGGCGTGAGCTTAGGTGGACTCCGGGGGAAGGTGGAGGACGGGAAGGCCTGGAGGAATGTTGCCTATGGGGTCGGGCACTAACATAATTCAGAGACTCCGCTCCAAATCCGATTCTACTAATCAAAGCATGGCCACTCAATCAGGGAAGGATTGCTGAAATTCCAGCAGGCACTGAGAACCATGACACTGACGCCTCCCTGACGTCCATGGCAGGAAAAGGGGGCCAAAGCCCTGAAGGCTCTGCTGTGAGAAAACCCCAGACAGACTTCAGGTCCACACAGAACCACCAGGGGTCCCTCGTCCGATGCCTCCGATGGCCAGGCAAGCTAACAGGGCACTGTCCCCAGTATTCTCAATCTCAGGTTTCAGAGCTGTAAACCCAAGTTTAATGCCTTAAACCTGGCCTAGGAGTGAGCAGGCAGCCAATGCACCTCTCTCAGCCAAGCAGCTGCATGTCGGACAGGGCTGCTCTCCAGCAGCTGCGCACGCAGCCGTCTTTGCAGGAAACATCTGGGACCTCTGCTGGCGGGCAGCGAGTTGACACGTCTGCAAGGCATGCTGGGAAAAAAGGTGGGCTTATGCAAATACCAGACCAATCGCTCTCAGGACGCGGACACTCGAGCGGGGAGAAATTGGCAAGATGAGGAGAACACACAATTTTGGAAATCAAATCACTTATTAAGGTGGCTGCTTACCTGGATGAAGGAAACTCGAATGTTGCAGGAGGATATTCTCTGGAACTTCCAAACCGCTGACCTGGACGCTGTGGCTGAGTTGTCCGGAACATTAATGTGCTCTCTGTGGCCTGACATGCCACTGGAAAAGGAATCGACGCTGCCTCGTCCACCAGCTGGCATCGCTTCTCGGCCTTTTGGCTAAGATCAAGTGTAGTATCTGTTCTTATCAGTTTAATATCTGATATGTCCTCTATTTGAGGACTACATATTAAATGGATTTTTGGCACTGGGAGATGGAATAGGGGCTTGCTCCATCCACTCCAAGCATCGACCTGGTATTGCAGTACCTCCAGGAACGGTGCACCTCCCCTCTGGGGAAATATCTCTGGTTCAAAGACAGATTTGGCAAAATATGATTAAAGCAATGCATTATTTTACTTTTGCTGGAGGCAATTATTTTGTTAGAGCATCACTTAGCACAATTCTATATAAAATGGGGACAGTGTTCTCTGGGTTTTTGGAGAAGTGCTTGTAACCTAAACGGAGATTAAAATTAGTCTCCAAATATCCTGTCCATTTTCTGCTTCCAGTTCTCTGCCTTTTGAGCACTACTTTTCTCTAAGTTCTGGGTTTGCTGAAGTTCCCCCACAAGTAGGGAAGGGTGACCCGTTCATTTTCATGTGGTCTGTTTTACGTTCGATGCGTTTCGACTCTAAAGCTTCGACTTTAAAGAACTGAGCAGAATGTTTTGGGAGCGGTTTATTCATGGGGATGCCATGAGTCGGAGACGACCGGCCAGCACATATCACCCTGTTTCACTTCCAAGTGAAATGCATTCAACCTGTGCTCACTCTTAGAGGGGAAATTATACTGATTATGCACCGCTTCTCTTCTTTTAGATTCCTCCGTTCTTTTTCTAACCCTTTAAAAAAAAAACACCTGGCTTCCAAGGTGAAGGTGGGATGTGGGTGAACAACACAGCAGGCCTCCCCAATGCGCCAGTAAAAACTTTATTGTGACAGTTCAAAGTGAAAAAACAAAAAAAACCTTATTACAAAAAGTTTTAGTTACCAAAATCTCTGATCAAATTGGTGCGATCTACCTTTACCCCTTGGAAAAAAGACGAGGACAGTCATGAAACAGTCCCCACACTCAAAACAAGTCACTTTATTCTCTCCTGCCCTATATATGTGAAGGTACAATTATTTTAATTAAGATATTTCAGACTCAATTTTCCTGGCATGCTGAGGTAAGGTAGCTGGTTTGGGGTTATAGATGATTGATCTCTGGCTGTCCTTTCAGGGTAGACTGGATTTTTCCTACATGTTCACCTATCCTGAACTGGATACCCTCTAGGTACTTTGGAGTACAAGACCCATCAACCCCAGTCAGCATGGTCAAAGGGATGGGATATCCTGCATCTGATGAAATGGACTTTAGTCCTCTGTGAGTCTGACAAATTACCACTTCTAATATAGCTCCACAGTTCCCCCTGCAGGATCGGGGCAGCTGGCACCCTGCTGGACTCCCTCAATAGACACTAAACCTGCAGAACTCAGCAGGCCTTACTTCTGAAAAGACACCTCTGGGATTGTACAGACAGCAACTCACTGTTGGAGTCACGTCCAGGGCCAAACAGGTTCGATCAATTGCTTCTGTGCAATTTATGGAACGCATTCTGTGTGAAGAATTCGCTTAGGGGACATCGTGTCGCAGAGAAAGCTCTCTCTCAAGAAATCCCTGCCAGGGGACTGTGTTAGCGGGGCAGGGGAAGCTTCAAAAAGATGAGGCAAATTTGTGGTCGAAGGATGCCTCACCTGTCAGTCAAGAGAGGCTGCAGGTCTGTAGAACGGGGCCACCAGGGAGCGGTGACGAACAGGCCGTGTTCACCAGCACTGACCTTGCCTGGAACACTGGCAGAGATGGAGTGGCTACCAGAAACACCCCATCCATGGTTTTAAGTCAAGGGATCAGGTGCCATGAGGAGAAATTGCTTTCCGCCCGCCAAGATTAATGAGAAATCCGGTGCCTAAAGGAGTAGGGAGAAGATGAAGAACTAAGTAATGGGGGAAATGGGCATCCCCTTCCTTGAGGAAAGAAAGGAAACCACGGCAAAAAGATCATTTTGCCGTTCAGGTTTTTTTTTGTATTTGCACGGGCATTATGAGAAGGATAAAGATGCACAGAGCGGTACCTGACTGCCAAAGAGGCCTGGACGGTCCTTTCCTTGGCTCAGGCCTTGCTAGCCAGCTGCCGTTCCACCATGCGGGGCAAAAACCCTTCCAGGAAGTGGAAGAAGTCCTGGAAGGGGGCTGCCTGTCCGGGGGCTGGAGTGAAGCTCAGAGCGACGTGCGTTCCTTGCTCGCCAGGGGTGCCCTCCCCGGCTCGGGCGCAAGCCACAAAGCGCAACAGGGGCTCGGCGCCTTCCCCTTCCTGCTGGGAAATGGCCTCGGACACTCTGGCTTCCAGCTCCAGGGAGCTGGCTTGTTGCTCCGCGTCCAGCTCTGGCCCACGGAGCTGCCGCCGGACACGCCGCCGGCCCAGCCACACATGGTGCCAGATGGCGCAGTTCCAGGTCACGCTCTCCCCGGCCGGGGGCGAAATCTCAGTCCGTGGCTTCTTGCGGGGAGGGGAAGCTGCCCCCCCATCCTCCCTGTCCAGAGGGCGCTTGGGCCCTTCCGTGGCTTCCGGCGGCTGCTCCTCCTGCTTCGATCCGGCAGCTTCTCCTCCTTCCCCGAATCCCTGCTGCGTCTCTGCACAGCTGCACTTGAGTACGTCGCGGAAGACGGCGCTTATGGAGGTGCAGATGTCCTGAAACTGGAGTCGGTGGGAAGCGCCTGCCTGCCCCAGAGGCTCATGGGACTGGGCCGGCATCGGTGGGAGACGGATGACGAGGCTCTCGGCCGCTGGAGCCTCGGCCTCGGGGCTGCCCGGCTGAAAGAGGCGGACCAGCCCCCAGACCTTCCCCTTGCTGGATTTGCGTTGATACTGCAAGCTCCGGCAGTACTTGGCAGCGGCTCCGCAGCAGCGCCGGAAGCGCAGCGCCGTCTTTTCGTTGACGTTGGCGGCGACGTTGTGGCTCAACTCGAAAGGGTCCTGAAGGTTGAATGGCCCCAGCTTGAGCGTGTGAGCCGCCTCAGAGGTCAGGAAGCTGGGCAGGGGCAGCGGCCGCCCTTCCCGGAGTGAGATCACGCAACCGGCAAAGTCGAAGTCCTGAAAGATGCGGAAGAATTCTGCCAGGAGGGAGCCTGAAAGGAGAGGCGGACAGGCCGAATGCCGCACGTTAAGCAGGGCCAGAAGGAGGCCAGGGAGCTGACAAACCTCCGGCCTCTAACACTTCCATCTTTTTTGTAGCTGTTCCAAATCTCAGACCCAGCAGTGTTTGTGCAGATTAGAGGCACAAGCACGATTTACAAGGGTTCGCCCCAAGCTCTGTCCCGTTACTAAAAGTGCAAGACAGAAAAACAGAGTTGGGAGATGCCGAATTCGACCTGTGGTGGGTACAAGCAGGAAAAAGCGACACAGAGCCCAGGAGAGTGGCTGCCAAGGCTCTTGAAGAGCCTTTGCTCTCAGAGGATTCTGCTCAGATTTCCAAGGAAGGCTTCCCCAAAAGCGTGATTAAAATTGGTTTGCGGGTGTGATTAACCTTGGAAATGTCCCAAGGCCCCAACTTCCCTTTCATCCCAAGTTTTACCCTCCTGATTGTGACTCACAAAGGTTGTCCGTGTTCCCGCTGGGCTCCAGCCGGGCTGAATCTTTGGGAAAGGTGCAGTCCCATCCATCCACTGTGGTTTGTTCCTCGTTATCTGGAGAGGAAGGACGGAGAACAGGAAAGAGTTAGGATACTGCCAACAGAGGCAAGACCGGGGTCAGCTTTTTCCTTTGGGGATCAGCTGCCCAGAGAACGCTGGTGACATATTGATCACAGCTCCAAAAGAGGCTGACATGAATGTCAAGACGCCCAGCCACCAATCCTCTCCAGCTTTCTCCAAGCTGGTGCCCTCTGGAATCTTCCAATACAACTCTCATCAGTTCCAGTGGGGATTGGCTCTGCTGGCAGGGGATGATGGGGCTTGTACTCTAAGACATCTGGAAACTGCCTGATTGAGGAAGGCTTCATAAAGCAATACCCCTGCCGTAAAAAGGACAAATTCCGTGTTAGGTGTGATTAGGAAAAGCACTGAAAACAAGGCTGCTGAGGGCCCTACTGCCCTTTTAGAAATCTGACGCAGTTCGAGTTACAATTTTATTTATTCTGGTCACTGCCCAAAAAAAGGATATTGCAGAACTGGGGGAGGTGCAGAAAAGGGCAATTCACCTGATCAGGGGTTGAAGCAGCTTTTGTATGAAGAAAAGATAGAACAGCTGAGATTGTTTAGTTTAGAAAAAGGTGAGCGAGGGGAAACTTGGTAGAAGGGTAGAGAATTATGTGGGATGGGGACAAGGAGACATTTTCCGTGATACAAGGCCTCAGACGGGTCATCCGGAACTAATAAAAGGAGGTACGTTTTCACAAGGAGCACCACTGAAGAATGCAATTCACTTCTGCGAGATCCGACGGCCTTTACCGACTTGAACAGCTTTCAAAGGGGAATGGCCAAACCTACGGAGAAGGCTAACCACGGCTACTAGTCAGGATGGCTACAGACTGCCTCCAGTAGCAGAGGCACTCTACCTGTGCTTCCAGTTGCTGGGGAGCATGGGCAGGAGAGTGCTGCCACACCTATCGCCCACTCACGGGGTCCTATGGCCTGGCCGCAGTGTGAGCAGGATGCCGGCTGAGATGGGCCCCTGGGCTTGTCCAGCAGGACCGTCCTGAAGCTCTTGGGACTTACCTGAGATTTCCCTTAGGTGGGCGACCGTGGGCAGCACAGGTGGGCTGCAGGTCTGGAGGAAGAACAGCACCAGCAGGGTCAGGGCATAGTTGTTAAGAAGGGGCCCCCCACCAAACGGATTGCCTGCGGGAAAAGAACAGCCTTCATCAAAATGAGCCTTCCCCAGCCTTGCATCCCCCTCTTCATCGCTGCAGCTCCTGGCTGAATCGAAACAGAATTTGTTGAGTCCCACACCCTGACAAAGTCCAAAGTGCAAAACCCGTCCAGGGGGAATGCTGGCCTCCTGGGGGCGGGGGCCGATCTGGCCCACTCTGGAGCTGTCAGAGTGCCAGGTTCACTCCTCAGCATCTTCACTCGAAAAGCAACCAGGTACCAGGTGATCGGGGCCCTTTACCTGGAGTCTGTGTGAGTCATAGCTAGTCAAGTGCAGTCAACCTGGCCGGCTATGGACATGACGCAAGGCAGATCTCTACATTTAGGCCTTCGTCGCATTTTATCCTGACAATAGCCAAAGGTCGCTGGACAGTTTATATCAAATCAGAATTTAAAGGTCCAGCACGATAAAGCCCAATATACTTCAAGTAAAACAACAAAAAAGCAGCAATATAAAACCTGAAATAAATACAACCACAGATCTCAACCCAAAACCAGCTAAAGAGCTAAAATTAAAAAAAACCTTTTAATAACTACTTGGCATAGAGTTCTGTTTTGTATGTTTGACTGTATATTGTTGTTTTTAATATGTTATGATTTTTATTAGGCTTCATTGTCTTTTTATCTTGCGCTCTGAGCCACCCGGAGGCATACAGATGTTTGCAATGAACAAATAAATCACAACATGCTTCTGAGAATGTCTTCACTCGGCACCAAAAAGATCACACTAAGAGTGCCAGGCGAGTCGCTCTTCGGGGAGCTCATTCCACAACAAGGGAGCCAACCGCCTCAGTAAGGGCTATCTTAGGCTCCAGCGGGGATCTCTATGGAAGGAGACCGATGTTTCCAGAACCGGGCAGCAAGTTGTTCCAAGCTTTGAGGGTTAATACACGCCTTCTGAGTTGTGCTCAGAAACAAACAGGCCGACCGTGCAGATCACAAAGCTGGGAGATTACATGTTCTCAGTCTCACTGCTGTTCCCGTGGGGTTCCATTTATTCCGACGGGGCCTGCGCATCAAGCCAGTTCTCGGCCGCGCAAAGGATGGCCCGTCTCCCCCTTCCCTCCTGGCCCGTCCCTCCCACGTTACCTGCCAGTGCCTGCTTCTTCGCCCAGTAGCGCAAAACATAGACCAAGGGCCGTACCCGCTCGTCGGCCTCAGTGCAAAGCTGCAGGAAACGTGTGTTGCAGAGGGCCAGCCTGCCAAGGAACGAAAACAGAGGCATGGGTCAGAGAACGGCCTGCAAACCTACCACTGTTTCCTGACACCCTCCCCTGCAATCTTTTCCGTTTGCTCTTGAATTGGCCTCCCCAGCTACAGTGTTCTCTTTAGAAAACTTGCTCGAGCTTTGCACTCACTGGACGCTGATTCAGACTGTTTGGTCCAGTCTCATCCTGTCCCAACGCCAGCGATAGATGGGCCGGGGTAGGAGTAACGGAGGTATGGACACTCAACTGCCTTGCTTTAGCTACAACAAAGCCGGTTAATAATCACAAAGCGCCTCCTAATTTAATAATGCAGGTTCCAGGGGAAATGGTGACAGAGAAAACTAGAATTCAGCCTCTCAAAAGGAGGGACTGGAAATGGAGATGTCTTTTCTATGATGTCAAAAAGTGAGGGAAGGGAGGAAAATAAAAAGAACAGCTCCAAATGAAAGATCTCTAGACTTCAAAAGGTGCTAAAGGGCAGCTTTCTGTTCTCTCTGATAATTTAATATCCCCAAAACTATTCAAGTTAAAATGAATTTACTCTTTAGAAGGAATAGGTGATTTGTTAATTCCAGTTTATCATCCATGGGACCCAAAAGGATGAATTTAGTTCTGGTTCAAAGGATGAATTTAGTTCTGGATCCTTCCCTGTTGCCCCAGGGCATAACATAGAAGCTGCATAGACTATGCCTGTCTTTCCCAACGTGGGTCCTCCCAGGTGTGTTGGACTTTTATCCCCTTCATTCCCAGAGAAGGCTGCAACACATAATTGGTTGCAGGACTGTACAGATCATGCAGCAGACAGAAAGTGGGCCCAGAGGTTGGTCCGAAGGCACAGGAGGCACCCACCATGTTGAAGCTAAGCAGCACTGAGGCTGGCCTGAGCGTGGAGAGGAGACCACCAGGAGCCACCAGGAGTTCCACCGTGGGAGAAAGATGGGGAATAAATATAAATTGCAAATAAATAAACCAATTTGCACTGTCAGTACAACAATCCTAACAGCCCAGTGGCTTTCAGACACTTCCTTTGGGAAATAAAGGGAATGTTACAGGGAAGTGTGCTCAGACATTAAGAAACCGCAGCATTTCTTAAGCACCTTTTGAAGCAACCCTAAACGAGGGAGGAGAGCCAAGCCACCCTTCCTGTATAAAGAAAGAAACCTGTTAGGCCCCTCTTTCTGTAGTGTGATAGGAACTTTGATAAAACAGAAAACATGCCCACGCACTTGTTGTTTATGGAGATATCGCCACGCAAGCCGGACTGCTTGTGACAAAACTTGACAACCGGACGGCGGGCGCTCAGCACAGCTTGGACGCTATGGACTCCCGGGACACACTTGCGCAGCACGGTAGCGACCAACTCGAGCACCTCGGGCACCGTGGCGGTGGCCAGGTCGATATCGCTCAGGATCGAATCTTCAGAGTGCGAGTCCGGACTGTCCCCATCATCAGCCTGGAGCAGGAAAGGGAGAGATGCTTGGAACAAGTGCCAAAAGGCCTATACCGGGGTGAGCAACAGGCAGAATTCCAAACAGCTTGCCCTCCAGAGCAGGTGGCTTACAGTTCCATTTATTCATTTATGAAAGGAAGGAAGAAAGGGAGGGAGAGAGAGAGAGAAATTTATATGCCATCCAGTTACCAGCGTCTCTGGATGGCTAACAACATAAATAAATTAATGACCCACTCTGGCTGCAAATACAATATTAAAATTCAATATTAAAACATATTAAAATATTGATTAAATTAAAAGGTCTTAACCTGGTGCCGAAAAACATGTAACAACGGTGTCAGGCGGACCTCTCTGGGGAGCACATTCCACAGACGGGGCATCACTGCAGAGAAGGCCCTCCTCCGGGTACTCTGTCTCCTAACTTCTTTCACAGATGATTCCCGGAGGAGGGCTTCTGTTGCCGATCTCAGGGGGCGGGAGGGCAAACACGGAAAAAGGCATTCCTTAAGGTAACCTGGTCCCAACAGGGTCATACTGACTGGGGATATTGGGACCTGCAGAGCAGTGGGTTGAAGAAGGCTGCTTTATGTTACTGGAAAGAGAGAAGCCTCTGTCAGTGATTTAAGGCCCGTGATGAAAGCATCTTGCCCGCAGGGTTCCAATGCGTGGACAAGGTTAAATGTGTGGAAAGCGGCCTAAGTAGAAACTAGATTTCAAGCAGCTGAATAGGCCAAAGACTGGCTTGGAGCCAATCTCCTTGGCGCAAAGAGAAGTGGGAGGGTGTGTCTTTCACTGGCCCTCACTGTGTCCACTGGCTCACCTGAGCCTCACTGGGTCCCCTCGCAGATGCCTGGAAGCTCTTTGTCTTCTCAAGGTCCAGGAACAGATCCAAGTCGCAGTCAGAGACATCAAAGCCATTGGCGGAGGAACCAAAGGGGAGCATGACAGAGCCTGGATGGGGAAAAGCGAGGGGCGGATTCAGAGAAGGTTATGCGCCAGAACTGCTGTCGCAGGCAGAGGTCGAAAGCAGCAGCTTACCGGGGAAAAACTCAGAGAACACCTCCTGGAAGAGGCTGACCAGCAGGTCCCGCAAGCGTCGCTCACTCTCCGAAAACTCAAAGAGTTGCACCACCAAAGACATCTGGGCATCTACCTACAGGGAGGGGAACAGCAACAAGGCCTCGGATTAAAAGTCGCGAGCCCTATTCGCGAAATGTGTGCTCAGTTAAGAACATTTTGGGGACCAAACCCTGGAATTCGCTCACATCGTCAGCTTGGCACAACTTCTGTGCAAGTTTCTCAGGACTCAGCTGTTCTCGCCTGCCTGCTCCCTGCTTCCTTGAGGGCGTGTACTTGAAATCTTTCTTCTCTCGAGGTTTGACCCGCAGCTTCTGACCTCCCAGGCTGTGGTGCGGCTGAGCCAAGACTTTCTCTAGCACATCTTCACTCTCCAGCTCCACAATTGCATAGACTCCCTAGACAGGGAAAAAAGAATACTGGTTTCCAGATTAAGTCTTCCCACCACCTTCCTGCCTTGGGAATCTTATTCATTTTATTTTATTTATTTTTCGATTTATATCCTGCCTTTTTCCTACAAAGGGCTCAAGGCAGCTTACATCATTCTCCTCCTCCATCTTATCCCCACAACAACCACCCTGTGAGGTAGGTTGGGCTGAGAGTCTGTGACTGGCCCAAAGTCACCCAGTTGGCTCCACGGCTGAGTGGGGACTCGAACCCGGATCGCCTGAGTCCCAGTCCCATGCTCTTAACCACTACACCACGCTGCCTCTCTTAACCACTACGCCACACTGGCTCTCAGTGTGCAAGAGCATTACTAATTTACTATTACTAGGGAAAACAAAACATAGACACCTGTAATCATGAAGCATTTGCTTGGCTTTATCAGGGCCAATATCTTAAAAAAATAAGCCAAAAAACATCAGGAGAAACAACAGCTTTAATTTAGACCAGCTAAGCATTTGGAATGCACTATGCAAGCTTACTGGGTTATACAGAACTCTTCTCTCAACCAGACACTAGTAAGAAAAGCAGGCAGAGAACCGACTGTGTGGTTGAATGACATTGTAGCACCTGAATTATCCCAATTCTATGCAGGCTTACTAGGAAGTACTTAGTAGCAGTTCAACGAAACGGCTCACATAATTCTCCTCTCAAACGTATCCTCACAACAAGAACTCTGTGAGGCAGGCTGGGGTAAGAGTCTGGCCCAAAGTCACCCAGTGGGTGCCATGGTGGCGGGGGGACCGCCTGAGTCCCAGTCCTGTGCTCTTAACCGCCATACCACACTGGCGCGCTCTCTCTGTTGTTACTTGTTTCTGCCGAGAATCTTAACTACCAAGCCTTTTAAAGATGTGATCACTGTTTCTATAAATATTTATTCAGGCACTCTAGGACTTGCAGTTTATTTCGTGCAGTCCTGTGGTCCACAGCATACCTTATCCTTATCCATCACCACGTTGGCTACCTCACCATAGGCCTGGAAATAATCACTCAGCTCTGAAGCCAGTGTTCCCTTGCGAAAGCCACTGACAAAAACACTGCGAAGTTCTTGGGCCTGATGGACAGTTCGGAGATTCTGCAGGCGCTGGTGTTTCTTCCCACGCAGGTGGTCATCCAGACTGGGCTCTGAAAGATAGAAATAAGGCTTTACAGCTACAGCTTGGTGAGTAGGAAGCCCCCTTTGCCATTATAGAAACTGACAGTTAACATCTTTCCACAGGGCAGTTCATATGTACAACCACCCTTGAGTTAAACACACTATAGGTTGTTGGGAATGAAAAAGGACATAAGGCAGCTCAGCTTTTAAATAACAGCCTTTGACCAGCTCATTTACAGGTTGTGAAGCAAGATGCATGAACCTAGGCTGATAACTTGTTTAGGGACTAAACAACCCAGCAGTTAACCCAAGCCCAGTTGATCCAGAGTGTTGAATGAAAACAGGAGAGGTCGTCATGTGGGAGGCAAAATATTTGCTCTCTCCCAGTCACACACAACTACCATGGCTTATATGAACCGCATGCTGCCAATTACAGGAGAACCAGCTGACTACCTGATTAAAGCCACACTAGCAGCATTATGTCAGCTTTGGAAATGGCCATTCTAGATTCAGGTGACACGCTGGAAATGGTGTAAAAGAGAATAAGCCCGATTTCACCACACAGGAGTCCTTCCTCGAGGATAAGCCCTCATCTATATCCTGAGGGAGAAAGTGTGTGTGCAGCTGCTCACGTGTTTGGGCACTGCTCAGACCTCTCAGGACGAATGGCAAAGGAGGAACAGGAAGGCAAATTTCAGGGAACTCCAGGCACCAAGTGACCAAGTTGCATTTACCTAAATTAGAATTTGCCGGTGTCTGAGCAAGAGAAGAGAGTCCCTCCCGCTCGCCACTGAATAGCCACAACCAGGGCCCACCGAATATCCTCAGGCAGAGGCGGGGCTCCTAAGCAAGCTACAGCCCCCGAACCTATCCGAATGAGCTTGACCGACTGGAGACCACTGCTGCACCCACATAATTTTAATTTATGTGGTTTTAATTTATTGTTGTAAGCCGCCCCGAGGCTTCGGCGAATGGGGCAGCATAAAAATGTTTTAATAAATAAATAAAATAACAGACCCCACCTCTTGGCCCCCCCCATTCCACTCACTATTGGCTACTGTTACGTGGCAAAGGCGGCAGCGAAAGCCCCCGCGGGGCAGAGACTCCACGTCTTCCCCCAGTTCTGCCATCCCGCCCTCTCCACGACCATAATCGGAAGCCGGTCCGACTCAGTATATTTCCCCCAGATTCCACGCTTTCCGGAAAGGAGACGCTCTATATTTTATCTCTATGGCCCACTCCTTCAAGGCGGGGCATGAGGCCGCATGTCTGCGAGGTCATCGCTATAGAGGGAAAACCATGTGGTTTTCCATATTTACGACTTCCGGTACCCATTCGAATGCCGCAATAGGCGTGCCGAACGGGGCAAGCAACACGTTCAGCTGGGGACCGGAAGTGTTGTAATCAAGTCAGTGGTGAACGCACCGCAGCCCTTGTAAGGCTCCACGCCTTTGTGTTCCATTCTAAAGCGATTCATCGCAGAGGCGCCAAAAGACAGCGCAACGTCACTTCCATTCTTCCCCGGAAGCCGTTCTTCTTCAGCGTCTTTATGGTATGCTCCCGCGTTTTGAATATGCTAACGAGGAGTATCGCCCTCCTCCATATTCATAAGTTCGAAGGTGGAGGCGTCGGCCTGAGTTTCTCGAGGCCTCCGAGAAGCCTGGCCGTCTCGTTCCCATGGCAACGAAGCCGGTGGGCGAGGGAGGGGGCGCCGCGCTCCTTCATTGCTATACCAAGTTTACAAATATAAAATTAATATTCAATATGAAATATTATATATATGATAAAATATAATGTATTATATATATAAAATACATACAATTTTCGTGGCAGAAAAGGCTTGCTAAGGGACTGATGCATGCACAATAGCATGTGAGCAAGAGATATACAGAGGGTGCCAAAAAATGTATACACATTTTAAGAAAGGAAAAAACTGTAATAGTAAATATATGCCAATAACAAAAATTCATTTCATTAACGCCATCTTTTGAGTGAACATCATACTCCACATTGCTACCGTAATTCAATTCCACTATGAAAAGTAATACATAGGTAACATCTCTTAAAATGTGTATACTTTTTTTGGGAATCCCTGGTATATAATACAAATATCTGTACATTAGAGTGACTGACGGAAACATGGATGTGGTTCAGAAAAGACATTAACTCCCACCTAAGGGCCGAGCGTGGGTTGTCACTGAACCATGGGCTATCACGTTCCCTGCATGCAGCTGCATTAACAGCCCAAGGAAATTCATACTTTGTTCCTGGACTGGATTCCTTGGGTTCAGGTAACAGAATAACCCCTTTTCAACAACAATTTGCATTTCAACAACAACCCACACTCAGCCCTTCACTGGCATTCTCGGAACCTGCAGTCGAAATCTTGCTGCAAAACACTTTGGTTTCTGCAGCTGCTCTGCCGTCATGCAAACCGCACTCAACCCTCCCCTTTGCCCTTTTCAAAATGTGGCAGCAAAGTTTCTGAACAGAGAGCCTCCGAAGCAAGGTTTGCAGCTCGCCAGAGCGGACATGGCACAGAACTGACATTGTGCTTTAAAAAAAAGAATGGTCGCATGCTTTGTGGCTTGCCATGAAGCAAAACATTTGAAAATGCGATCTATATATAGAATCCTGTTTTCGTCCTCATGAGAAAACAGGCAGACAGGAAGAACCCAAAAACTGAAACTGAGCAACCTTGCCAAGAGTCAGTGCCTTGGGCTTGGTGCAAGCAAACCTTTCACCATCGCTGGCTGCCGCTGTGAGGGAGACGACCCAAGGCAAGGCTGAGCAAAAACCCTCCTGCACCTTCCCAGAGAGCCTGAATTTCCTGTTTGCGGCTCAGAAGCCACAGTTGTCTCGTCTTGCCCGTGTGCTCATGGCATGCTCAGCCTTCATGCTCTCTCAGTTAGCTTACTTCCTCATGGGAGCAACACGGGGCATTTGGGGTGGGGGGTAACTTCAGGCCTCGGAGCATCTGCAGCCCGCAACGGGGCCCCCTTTCCCCAGAGGAGCCCCATCCTCTGCAAAATCCAGACTCGCAGCACCTTTTCAGTCTCTCTTCATTGTCTTTTGTCAGTAAACACATGCATCCAACAGGCTCAGCCCTGGCCTGCCTCACAGGATTAATTAGAAAATGCTAAGCATTTTCAGACACTCAGAAAGCACGACCGAAAGGTTTTAAGGAGGTTTCTTTGGAAGCCGCTTTTGCACTGCGATGGCAGTAGGGATGAGCTTCCAGAGTAAACACTGTGCTGGTAAACTGGAGGGAACGTTGCTGAAATCTCACATGGCTGGTTACCCCAACAAAGGCGAGAAGAGCAGTTGCATGGCCTGCGACTCTGTGAGCGGAAGGGCTGGAGGCGGCAGGTCTGTGGCCTGATGCAGCACAGCGCTCTCATTCTTATGTGCAGGATCAGACCAACCCTTGCCTTGCGCAGCTTTCTGTCCCCACACGCAGATCGGCATGAATCATACTTCAGAATCTAGAAATAACAGTTCTGAATCAGCAGCTCCACTGCTGAGTCACTGAAGCTTGGTGAGCTGCAGAAAGGTGTCTGTCCCAACTTTGCATCACAACGTGTGTGTGCGTGCGTGCGTGCGTGCGTGCGTGCGTGTGTGTGTGTGTGTGTGTTGGAGGGGAGGTGACACAAAGCAGGCTAGAGCGATCTTCAAAAAATGGGTTAGCAGGCACCCAAAGAAAGGCATGGGATGCTTCCATGCACAGAAGCACGGAAGGGGGAGCCCAGGCACCGGCAGAATTCACCCCACCTTCCGGACATGCTTCTATCCCAGACTTCACTCGCGCAGGGCTCGGCTAAAAACAACTCGCCTGAGGGGCCGTCCGGCAGGCGGCAGCCCCTCTGGGAACATGCTGGGATATGTAGGCCGTGCGTTCCCCACCTCAGCATGCACGCGAGTGTCCACGGCTTCTGGTTTTCTCTGTGGCACTTCAGAAAGTCCCGTCTGGCAGAACAGAGAAAGGCAGGGTTCTTCCCCACTCCTGCTGCCCTCTCCCAGTCTCAGGTGGCATGTTCCCCCGGGGGAAACCCTCTTGTGGCACGCTTCTTGTTGGCTTCTAAATACACGATTCCCTGGGTGGGGCCTGGGCAGGCTTCAGGCTCGCAGGAGCTCCTTCGAATCAACACCGAGACTCCGGCAAGGCCGAAGACACAGCTCGAAGCTCCAAGACCCGGAAACTGTTCTGAGTATCAAACCCAACTAGCGGTCTTCCCACACAAAAATCCCCGATTGCCCAATGCTTTTGGAGCAAAAGAGGGGTGCCATTTCATTGCTGCCACTGTTAAAATGTTGTGAATCAGAAGAACCTGCCACCAATCTACTGCAAATCACCAAGCCGTCTTCCACTACAGCCAGATCCCTTCTCTTGCCAAGCCTTGTCCTAAATGATCCAGGCCCTAGAAAGATACCGAAAGGGCCCTCGGCTGGGCCGTTTTTAATCTGAAGCTCCTACCACAAAAGGCCAAGCTAGAATCATACGCAGGGGACAGGTCCTGAGGGATTCATGCACCTGCAGAACCTCCCCCACTCCGGGGACTGTTATGAGTAAGAACACACAGGCTCTTCAGCGCAGCGATCAGAAGGAAGGAACTCGAGGCCGCTGCCCTGCGAGGCTTCCTGCTCCTCCCGTGCTAGCCCCACGGCAGGCCTTCTGGTTCCTGCAGATCTGCTGCACCTCAATTGGCGGCTTCCTTGCCTCTGATGGAAAAAGGAGGTGAGCATCTAAGCAGAGGGCACCTCGAAAAGTGAAAAACAGGGCCTCATTCCCAGTCTTGTTCTTCTGCCAGTGAAGGACAAGCAAGACTGGTCAGGCCACAATCCTAGGCATTTACTTAGAGGTAAGCGCCACTGAACTCAGCAGGACTCGCTTCTGGGCACAGAAACGGTTCGTGTTCGGCAAAAAAGTCAGTCCAAGGGAGGTTCTGCTCGCTGGCTCTCAGCTATTCTGCCATGAACAAGAAGCAATGTGAAGACATCAAAGGTCACGCATCAATTTCTCCTTTTAAAGACTACTAAGGACTCTTGAACTTGTGTTCAAGTTCCCTCAGACAACCAGTCCCAGCTCGGTGCCCTCCCAACGTTTGACGCCCAGCCCGTCTCGGCCCTTGCCCTGAGGCAGAAGAGCAGCGGCCTCCTCTATCTGAAAGGCACCCGCGTCGGACTGGTCCAAATGGTCTTTTGTGCTTTCCTGCCCAGAAAAGGAGGATGCAGCGTAACTGATTTTGGTCTGGACTATCCACTCTTACAAGCAACACACGTTTATCCGAACAGAGACCTTCATCCATCTAACTGAATACAGTAAAAAAATTCCAGACGGCTTCTCCTGGTCACATTTCCTCACCTCTCACTGTTCTTCCTCCACCATTCCATTAAAAAAAGGAGAAGAAGCTGTGAAGAAAACAGCATTTATTGTTTTTTTTTCTTTGTTGCTATAAGAGCCAGAGGCTGACTTAAAAAATCCTGACTTTTCCTCTTCAAACCATGTACAAAAATGGGCTCATCAAAGACAGGGGGGTGGGAGGGCTTGTTGACGAATGTGCTCCCAAACAGGAGACTATCCGGGACCAGAGGGCAATCTTGCAAAAGAAAGGACCCACGGAAAGAAAAACACGCAGACAGAAAAAAGGAAGGAGGAAGAGCGGTGGGGGTGGGACGGGAGGAACTCCGAAAGGGGCTTTGTGTTCCACCAATTCCGTGCCACCCCTGTGGTCTCTCCACACCCCCTCCAGGAAGGAGGGTGCAACTTAGATTTCTCCTAGTTCCCTGGATGGGGGGTGTGAGGAGGCCAGCTTTGTGCGCAAGTCTGAATTGTCGGGGAGGGTTAAAAAAAAAAAAAGGCAAAATGTGGAACTTAAAATATATATATATATATATAAAAAAGAGCACAAAGGATGTCCAGGAAAATACACCTCGGGGAAGGGGAAGAGATGTCCTTCTCCTGCCCGGCCTGATCCCAGCGAAAGCTCGGCACAACTGGAGCCTCGAAGTTCCCTCGGCCAGGCTGACCTCGAACACAGGAGAGGGGAGTTGGTGCTGCGCAAGATGGCTACAAGAATCCTAGAGGGGCCGCCAGAGAAGCGAGAGCGCTCAGTCTTCCAGGATGATGGGCTCGCTGGTGCTGGCAGGATGGGCCGGGGCCACGGGCACCAGGGGGGCCACCACCGGCCGGATGGGCAGCACCGACTTCACCTTGAGGGGCAGGTTGGGCCGGCGGGCGGCACGGCGCATCTCCAGGTGGCTCAGCGCCTTGCGGAGCGCCCTGCGGGGGGGAAGAGGCACAGCGGGTCAGGCGACATGATCCTCAGCCAGAGGCAGGCTGGAACACAGAAGAACTCGCTGGAAGAGGCAGCCTGGTGCCCGGAGGAAGCCGAGAGGCAGCCCAGCTCTTCGGGGGCCGTGAAGAACCGTCCTAGCAAGGGTCCCCCACTCAGCTCCCAGCTTTTCTTCCTCTTGCAAGGAACTCAAGGCAGCGTACAAGGTTTCTCCTCTCCATTTTATCCTTACAACCACCACCTGGTGAGGTGGGTTGGGCAGAGGGTCTGTGACTGTCCTACTGAGCTTCGTGGCCGAGTGGAGACGAGAAACTGGCTCTCCTGAGGGCCAGTCCAGCACTCAGACCTTTACACCACGCTGGGCTGCCTCCAAGCACATTCTGGCATCAGCCGAAGGCACAGAAGGCGGGAGCACCTAAGGTTTCGACAACAAAGGGGATGAGGCAAGATGGTGGACTGGGTACGATCCTTTCGTGCCGGAAATATCTGGGATTATATGAAATCTGGAATATGTTAGAAGTATGGAACTGACTTTCGTTTTGGTGGCTGGGGCACAGAATACTGATCACACCCATAGAGGACAGAGATGGAGGAGGGAAAGATTGCTCTTGGGCCGCAGTGCTCGATCCCTGGTGACCCACAAGGTGAGTTACTTTGGAACAACGGGGCTTTCCTCCACACCACTCGGCACAAATTCCTAAAGGGACGCACACCGCATCCAGATCAGCACAGAGCCCTTCGAGCGGCGAGAGCCGGCGGGACAGGGCGGGCGAAAGGATCCGCCATTCGTTTCCACACTCCTGAAATCCGTCCGGGCACAGACCCTGCCGCCGGGGGCAGGACCGGCAGGACGGGCGAGGCTGGGGCCGAGCGGGTGGCGCTGAAGGGACGGCGCGCCCTCCCCACCCTTCGCGGCCTTCCTCTTCGCCCGACTGCGTCACTGAGCACTCCCTTCCCAGTACCTGGTGTCCTTGGTGGCCACAAACACGACGGGGTTGGGGGCGTCGGCTGGGTTCAGCTTCTGACGCTTGATGGCAGGCTGGGTACTCGACCTCATTCCGGAAGTCATGGGCCGCCCGTTGGCTGAGAAGGGGAGCCCGCCCCCTGCCACCTGCACCCGGTTGCACACAGAGCCATCAGCGAGCGGAACCCCCAAAGGCAGCGTCCACCTCCTGTGGCTCCCTCCCCCGCCGTCCTGCCCTAGCATGGGAGGGGGGCCCTACGCCCCGGCTGCGGAGGTCCACCCTCCCCCCTGCTCACATGGAGACCCCCATGAGATGGAAGGACCCGGAAGCGGTCTCTCCCCCACCGAGCAGTGGGGATGGTGGGAATACAAGAACTTCTGGAGAACGGCACGCAGCAAGACGGGAAGACCCTCGGTGACCACTACAGGAATCCAGCAAAGATTTTCCGAACCAAAAACCACGCACTGCCATTTCTGTTCCTTGTCAGAGAGTTTAGGACCGCCACGCTGCAGGCACCGACGTGTGGCCCCGGCCTTCCACCACCGCAAAACGCACGCTTGCAGAGCTGCACCCACCCCACCCCACCCCACGGCTGGAGATGCTCCCAGAGGCCCTGCCCCACTGCCCTGCAGGGTCTGTTCCTCACTCACACTCTCGTATGCCCGCTTGCTCACGATGCCAGCCAAGCCTCGGTTCGGGGTCAGCTGATTCCGGTTGATGGGCGTCTTGGTGCCGCGGGGTGTTTTTGGTTTCAAGGGGGCTTGTGCAGCTGGAAGGACAGGAGAGGTGTCTTGGGGAACCCCAGAGAGAAATGCACTGATGCCCAGTCATTTGCTTCCCACCACTGGGAGCCATTTTCTCCTAACAGTTTGAGATTTTGATGGGGGGACAAAATCAGGGGTGTGACCGATCAAAGTTTCTCCTGCATCCTCTGCTCTAGATGGGGCACATGAATTTGGACATCAGAGACACTGTCCCCACACACATCTCTGTGCCAGGTGGCATTTGTACTCCCCAGTTCTTCGCTCCCTGCCTTGATCTGGGAATACCAGTTTGCCTGATCTGATCCTCAGGACAACTAGGGTTAGCCCCAACCCGGATTGTCTGCATGGCACGTCAACTCGGCTTTGCTCGATTTGGGTATCAAAGCGAACCAGAGGGTGGGAAGGAAATTCACATGCAAAAAGAAGGTATACAAGCCCAGGGCAGATTTCAAGTCTCCAAATCCTGGCTTGGAGGCCACTCCACCGCAGAGAGGCGAACTGGCTTTTGTAGGCTCTGCCTTACCTAGCTCCTTCACTATGGTTGCCAGGGGCAACCGCACCAGTGGATGGATCTTGAGGGGTGTCTTTGCCGCCTTAGGAAGCCGGATGGAGCCTAGAGGGAAGAAGCAGGCCGCCGGTGTGAGCCTCGGCTAGGCCGCCCCCCCCCCGCCAGGTGGCTCCCCCACCCGCCCACGTACATTCTGCCTTGATGGCGTTGGCGTTGATGGGCGCGTAGGGACGCCGGGCAGCTCGGCGCGGCTGCAGGATGTCCCGGCACATGCGGCGGGCGATGCGGGTCAGCTTGGTGGTCTGCAGCAGGAAGGTCTGGCGATTCTTGGCCAGGAGCTTTGCCCGGTTGGCACTGGTTGTGTACGGCGAGAGACTCTGGGCTTCTGGCCGAGACATGTGGCCTCGCGAGTGCGGCTCCTGGGAAGGGGGGTGCGGTTGACGTGGTGAGGGAACCACCTGGCTTGAGAGCCGAGTGAGGAGGGAGGGGAAGGGCTCAGGAGCGTGGCAAGATCCGGAGCACAGTCCCGCTGCTTCCTCTCGGGCAACGATGGTTGCATGGAGAAACGAGCAGAACTAAAGCAGGGAAATTCACTCAGAAAGGGCCCCGCGCCGATCAAATAGCCAGATCATATCCTTCCAGGAAAGCCCCAGAAGAACGCAGTCAAATTTAGGGAGTACAGGAAGGACAGCAAATGACGTCCTTAGAAGAGGAGGAACCGGCTCCCCTTCTCAGAGGAGGAGGGAGCCAAGCCCCACGGGCATTACCGAGACGCTGCGTGCTGCTCCCTCGAGCTGCGTCGGGGTCTTCAGGCCGCCGTACTTCTTCCAGTAGATCCAACAGGAGGCACAGAGGCGGCACTGCATGTTGGGGGGCCCCCAGGCGTACCACTGCGCCGACTGGGTAGCTGCGGGCAAGAGGGAGGCCGTGGTGGGCACACACGCAGCCAGGGGAGACCGGGGAAACCGGGGCTACCCCACCCCCCCCGCTGCCCGGCCAGGTCCAGGGGCAGTTCCCCAAGCCCACCCTACCCACAATGCAGCACTGCACCGTCAGTCACCAGGGCTGGAAAAGTGAGCCTCCATTTGCCCTCTGAAGACGGAGAAAACGGCACAGGGCAGGCTGCATCCTCAGCAGAGATGCGGCCCCGGAAGGTACTCACTGTGGCAGCTCTCGCAGGTCAGCCCCTTCTGGAAGCCGGCTCCATTCATGCCGGGCTTGGAGCCCACGGAAATTATTTGGTTTGGATTCGGTTTCGTGCTGCACGAGGGAGGGAAGGGCGAGACGGTTAAGACAGCCGCCCGGGGTCCCCCTGTGGCCTTCCCACGCCAGTCCCTCGGGAGGGGAACACTCACTAGGTGGGGATGTACACCTGCTTCAGCTTGCTGTCAGCTTCGGCCGCTTTCAACCTTTTCTGCATGGAGAAGGAAAGGGAGATGAAGCCACTTGTACACACAGGGCCACTTTCTGGGGACTCCAGTCAGATCAGAGTCCCCAGGCGTCAGTGTCAGCCGGTGGGCAGCTCCAGAGATGCTGCAGCTGCTGGGGAAGGAATGTTCCCCCACCGTGCCTCCTGCAGGAAGCTCTTTCCTCACCTGCTGGATGTATCGGTCTGTGGTTTTCCACATGTAGTAGAACTGCACAATGCTGGCCAGAGACTTCCACGGGAGCTGCAAGGAACACGGTCTTTAAGGGCACGCCCAGCTCCGGCCTGCCCATCTGCTGCACCCAGAAAAGGCAGATCCTCATGGCCCTTGGCTGGAACTGGGGAGGAAACCCCAGCCCCTGAGCCATGGGGAAGGAACGGCAGTCGCCTCAGGAGCAGGGCGGGGGCACCGGACGAGAAGGAAGGAATGCCTGGGCTATGCACGCCGCGGGACCACGTCGTACTCCAGTTTAGAGAGAATATCTGCCTGCTTGCCAGAGGGAGAATGAGGATGTCCGCATGAGCTGGAGGGCAGGTGAGAGCCAGCCCTCCCACCTTCGTGGGAAACCAGGGCAGTGACGGGCCACAGGTCCCACTCGGCCCACAACCCCGACTCACAAAGTCCTGCCGGATGTCGTTGAAGTCCTTGCCGTACTTCTCCAAGGCCTCCTCGAAGAGCATGGCTTCCGAGGCGGACCACTCCTCCATCTCGTCCCTGCACAGCACAGGCCCACCCTGGGGCACCAGTGTCGACATGGCCTTGGCGAGGTCGTAGCCGTTCCGCTGCAGCGTGTCCATGGCGTGGAACTGCCGAGAGAGGGGGAGGCGCCTGTCAGGACAGGTGGGGCAGATGGGCCAGCGGAGGGGCCAGCTTGGCCACCGAGGGGGCCCCGGCTGTGGGAATTCGGGTTCCTCAGTCCCTGCGGTTCAGCCTAGACTTTCTTCACAGCACGGCACTGGAAGCTTAGCTACGGTTTAGCATGGCGTTGGTGGGCGGCTGGCAAGCCAGAGGAGAGACCACTATTTCTTTGGAGCGAGTCTGCAAACCCATCCGTGCTCCTTGGGGCCTGGTGTGGAAGCCGAACGGGCAAACCCTAGTTCAGGCAGCGGCTCTGCTGCACACACAGGCCCAAGCACTGCACAGACAGAAGGTTTTAACCCACTGCTTGCTTCTTGTGCATTTCGAACCCTGAACTTGACTGTGACTACACACAGGGTGTAATGCCTGAACTGTACCTTTATTGTCCTTTTAATAACACACCCAAATGTCTAGTCCTCATTGTTACAAACACAATGCCCACTCACACATCACAGAGGCAAAGTATGAGTTAACCCACACTCTGCCAGATTCTGTGCTGCACAAAATCTTCTTGCATAATCACTTTGACTGAGCAGACTGTGGGTTGCTATGTGATGTACGAACCTGGACCTCTGGGTTATGTGAGGCTTCAACAAGTTAACCTTCTAACTACTCCTAGGTTAACTCCGGTGTTTTAACCCAAAAACAAAGCAAAGAGTTCCTGTTTGTAGATCACCCTACAACTGGGCCAATTGAGATTGACTATGCAAAGCAGCAGCAACTCACAGGTTATTTATTTTTATTTATTTTTTATTTATTAAAACATTTTTATGCCGTCCCATTCGCCGAAGCCTCGGGGCAGCTTACAACAATAAATTATCCCAGGCTTCGCTGCTGCTATGTACTGGCTGGGTCACTGGCTTGAAAGCACATGGGCCATGCCAAAGGGGTGACTGAGTAAGAATCTAGAAATCAATGTCTCCATTCCAGGATCCTGTACAGTTCCTTGCTCCCGCCTTTAATTAGGAATTGTACCAAGGAATAAAATAGAAGGCTTATGCAGAATAAGCAGCTTTGCATTATTTTAGTTGGCATGACCTACGGCAGCTGCAGAACTGGCTCATCCTGACACAGGATCTGGGTGCAGAATTGGCAGATCTGTCTTCTTGCACAGAGTGGGCACATCGCTGCCCAACCTGACCCCCACCTTGCTGACCTCCCCCCGCTCACCCCCTCACCAGTGTGATGTCCCGGGAAGCAGCCGCTGCACTCATGTGAAGGCTGGGCTGCCGGATGGAACTGCTGCAGTCGAGGGCCCGAGCGAAGGTGCCGACGGCTCTGGCGCAAGGGAAAGGCGAGAGGGGATTAATGACCCGCCGGAGCCGGAGCCCGCCCAGGAAGAGGAGCCGGGGCAGCCCCACAGCCGGGCCTCACCGAGCCACCACAAGGAACTGGTCGATCTGCCGGTCAGTCAGCGGGTTGTCTGGGTCCCACACCTTCATCTCCATCTTCTGCTGGTTCCGGTTGTCAGATTCTCCTAGGAAAGGAGTCGGGAAGAGGCTGTCAATATAACTGGACTGCCCTGTTCCCACCAGAGGGCAACGCTGTTCACCCAGCCATGGGAGCCAGACCCTGCTCACCTTCTGCCAGCCGTTCGGGGATCTCGGCCTGGTATTTGCAGCCCACCCGGATCTCGCCCTGGTCAGCCAGGAGAGTCTTCTGAACCGGGTCAAAGACCAGCGAGTAGAAAAAACAGTCCTGTGGGGAGGCGAGGGACCGTGTGAGTTCAACGAAGGCAGCCAGCCGTCCTCGATCGCTGCACCTTCCACGCGCTCACGTGGCTCATTCCAACGCAGGCAGCAAAAGCCACTGTTCTGTGTGAAGGAGCTGAGGGACACCACACCGCCTGCAAGCCCAGCACTTCAGCACACCAGGCGGCCCTCAAAACCCAGCTGGCCTCACCTCTTTATCCAGGTACTGGCTGAGGATGTCCGTCTCGTTGAGCAGCGTCACACTGCATTTCCCCCTGCAAGGACCAAGCAGAATCCGTGACAGCTTCCCGAAGCATGCCTCCCGTCCTCCCCACGCCCTTCGCCATTTCCTGTTAATACACATGTGGGAATGTCTGCCCTTCAGGAGCAGGCGGCCTGCAACGCCCGTCCGCCTGAGCGCCAGGGCCAGCCACGGGGGCTGACGGCAGCTGCCATTCGACGCCAGGAGGGCCGGGGGGGGGTGCGTCCAGTCAGACGCCGCCCTAGCAAGCAGCCCCACTTCCCGGCATGGCTGAGGAAGGCGGAGACCATGGGGGCAGCGACCCTTGCCTTCCCTCACCGTATGTGGGTGGCCGGCAGTGACTCAAACTGGCGTGACAGGAAGAGCTCGCGGTGCTTTAGCTGATGCCGCTGCTGCTCCGACACAGAAGGCTGCTTGGATTCTTCTTCAAATTCTCCTGTTGGGGGGAGGAGGAGGGAGAGTGGGAATCCCAGGCATTCCATCTTCCTCAGCCACCGAGCAATTTGGCCCTTCCGTTGAGCAAGGGAATGTCCCCTTGCCTGCCCCATTTGGGATTGCGCAGAACACAGATTGGGCATCCCTGTACATGGAGCTGTTCGCTGGATCAGACCAGCAGCCCATCCAGTCCCACGTTCCATGACCGGCAGCAGCCTGCCAAACACACCTGGGAACTCCCAGGCTGGGGTGGGGGTTCCTCTGGCTCTCCCTTGGGGCAGAGAGGCGGGGCAAAGTATCGTGCTTGGCGTGGGGATACCTGGGGTTGGCTTCCCACCTGCCACAAAGCCCCCCAGGTGACCTGATCCATCCGGCCAATCCCTCTCTCTCCACTGCACACACACGGTCTAAATTCACAGCAGTGTTGAGAAGACAAAAACGGGGGCGGGCCCAGGGAAAGCTACAGTACAGTTGCAGGAAATAAATTCAAGCTCGACAGACAGACTGGCATTAAATCATGGAGGTCCCACTCACAGCCGTCAATAACCACGGCCTTCTCCAATCCACATTTTAAAATCATCTGGCCCAACGGCCATCACCACATCCTGTGGGGGGAGCCCCCACAGTTCCACAATCGTGACGGAGGAAACCCCCGCACACACGCCGATCCAGAGCTGTAGCAGTGCTGCGAGGAAGAAAATCCCCCACCTCCTTCACCCCCATCCACAGCAAGGCTTGTATCATGCCCCTTTCCCCTCGCTGCCTTCTTTCTCCCTGAATGGAAGACCCTCAAGCTGAGCAGCTCTTCCACAGCACCCCAGGCCCTCCTCGGTTCCCGTGCCCTTCACGTCCAACACACGGCGGGGCGGGAGATTCTCACGGGAAGCCACAGGATCAGAGAACAGTGGAGGGGCAGATCAGGCCACTGGGTCGGGCCCGCTGCTTGAGGCAGGCTTCCCAGCCGAAGCGTCCGCAGCAGACGGTTGCCCAGGCGCATTGCAAAGCCCTTGCTGTCATTTCTGCTCCCACGTCCCTCTCTGCCGATACGTTGTGCACGCATGCCACTTTCCCTCCGGCCCTCCCTCCACACACACACACACACCACCGTCCTCCCTCCCTCCCTCCCTCCCTCCCGGGAGCAGCAGCAGCAGCCACCAAGAGGCGCATTGTTCTCCCAGCCCTCTTCTGCCTCTCGAGTTGGCAGCACCCCAGGGAGGAGGGGACAAGAGGAGCCCGAGGGATGCTGGCGCCGCCCCCACCCCCTTGCTCCTTGGCTCGGGAAACCCTCTGCCTGCGCGGGATGGGCAAGCAGGCATGTGGACCCGAGGCAGCCGTGAACCTGCCCCCCACGCCTCGCCCGGCCTGATTGGGCAGAGTCAAGGTCACGGCCCCTGCTCAAGGGGCCAGGAAGCCCCGAGCGAGCGAGCAGAGCCATTATTCACGCTCCTCCCTTTCCACCCGCACAGCTGCAATTCCATTTCTGTTAACCCTGCAGGAGCCGCGGACTCCCGGGCTGGGCCAGGATTCAGGGGAAGTTGCAACAGGGGGCAATGCTGGAGAGGAGAAACGCCATTATGAGGCCTTCACCTCCTCAGCGTCCCAAACGGAGCTACGCTCCACCCTGCCCCCCACATCGAGCACAGACAAACTACTGCCAAAGTTTAAACAAGTCAGCATAGAAAAACGACCGGGTACTGCCCCAGGCTATCACGCTGCGTGGAGAGGAGAGCAAAGATGGCTCCGCGAGAGTCTTTAACCCTCATCTCCCGCCAGGGTAGAAAGATGCGTCCCAGCGCCCTCCTGTACTACTGCTCCAGGGACAGGGCGGCCAGCCTTTCACCCACTCCTTTCCCAGGAGGACTCCCTCCGCGCATTGCCACCCTCTAAAGGCACCGGCTCTTCCCTGCCTCTCTGCACGAGTCCGCTCGCTGCCGTCGCTACTGCCAGACGAGCTGCCGACCCATTCGGTCTGAGCCGCGCCAGACAGGCCTGCCCTGACCCAGCGCGATGCTCTCCTGCCCAACTCCTTCCCTGCCCGGGGGCACACGCTCCAGCTCAGCCGCTGCTTCGAAGGTTTACCGCTCGCACACGGCTACTCACGGGCATTGCTGTCCGCCAGGCTGTTGAGGCTGCTGGAGATGTCCCGCCGGCGGAAGAGACACACCACCTTGGCCTCCACGTTGCCATTGGCCGTCTGGGGAAAGAGAGGAGAGGCCGTGCTGTCGATGGGGAATCCGGCTCGCAAAGAGGGCGGCGGCGGCTTCATGGCCTTTGCACTGCCCTGGCCAAGGGCCCTCCTTTCATCTCCTGCAAGATCTGCTTGGCTGTTAGGGGTCCCCCCAGAACAGCTCCCCTCCTTCCCTTCGGTGCCCACCCAGCCAGCCGTGCCCTTACCTTGTTGAGCTCTTCGATTCGGCGCACGAGGTAGGGATTGCTAGAGGAATTCTCAAAGTAGACATAATCTGCAAGGAGAATAAAACGGGAAGCAAGGAGGCGATGAAAAAAGATACCGGAAGGCAGGCGGGCAGGCCGGTACCCTCAGGAGATGCTAGCAATTCTAAGAAGACAGACTTGTGTGCAGCGGTTTTCTCCTAGGTTGCTCTAAATGCTTCCTGGGTGTTATCCAAGGTAAGGCTTTTTAAAAACTGCAGCCCCTGGCCCACCCACCAAAGACAAGTGCAAAACCGTGGCTCAGGAAGGAACAGATATACAGTGCAGGAAAAAGTTGCTCCTTGGCACACACCCCTCTTCTTGGCAGTACACAAGGGACCCTCGGTCTTTCCACATGAATATCTACTCCTGCTTCCCCCTGCAAGCTTCTTTCATTTCAGCTGCCTAATCTGAAAGGGGAGGGGGATTACGACCGCTTCAGACAAAGGAGGAGTCGGAACCCCTTTCTGATCTGCGGAAAGTCACCCAGAAATACAGGCCTCGCTTGCTTCCTTGCCTTCTCCTGGCCTACGCCACCTTGTAGCCGCCTCATATTATCATTCTCCCCATATGTACAGGAAAGGTCCTGAAGCTGGTAAAGAAAGGCCCGTTTAAAGCCCGCTGGCAAGTCCAGTGCTGAGCCCCCGAACAGGAGACGTTCCTGTTCAGCGTTCACGCTCCTAAGTTGTTCTCATAAACATGCCTTCCCCTGCAAAATGCCCCCAAGCATTCCATTCAACAATCGCCACAAACAGTCATGGGTGCAGCATGCAGTCGGTTGTTTTCGCCCACCCCATTAAAAGTCCTACAGTAAAGGACCTCCACTTTGGTCAAGCCCGAAGGAAGCCTGCACTGTTTCTCTCCTCCGGGCTAAGCTTCAAGACGTCCTACCCGCCACTTCAGCCTCTCTTTCACCCAAGATCATAAAGGCCCACTTCTCTCCCACAGTTTCCAGGCCCAATGCCCTGCTCTTCAAGGGAGACACGTTTCTAGCCTTGAGAAAGGCAAGCCAGACTGGGGCCAAAAGGAATGTGCTCTTGGTTAGATGATGAGTTTTCAGTTCCGTACACCAACGTCTTTGCTTCTGCCCATTAAAAGAAACATTAAGCAGAAATGTCCCCAATTTGCATATTTCCTACATGGCACGGGATTATTATTTCCTGCCTAAGTGCAAAGCATACGTATCTCTACTTGAGCCTGGGATGCGCCCATGAGCATCTCTGCCTAAAGTAGTTCCGTCCATATAATTTTTGTAGCCTTTATCACAATCACCTAAAGTAAGCTAGTATTACCATCACCATGGAAAGGCTGGAGATGGCAGTTTGCCAGAGGCAACTCAGCAAGTCCAGGTTGTACAGAGTTGTGGAACCAGGGGGTTCTGGCTCAGCGTTCCTGATCGCCACTAAAAGTTCTCAAATAGCGGTCCCTCACACCTGGTGGGGTTTGCCAAGCCACTGTCTTGACACCTGAGAAAGGGCTGGTTTGCCCACCAGGCCTAGTTCCACTGCTACGGAGCAGTTTTTTCCTATCAGCTTTTCACTCTGCTGTCCAAATTATTGATTTTCCTAAGTTGCTCTGGAAGCCTTTTGACTGAAGTACAAAACAAACATGATTTGGAGAAAAAAACCCTATTATATTAACATTGTGTGCAACATGCACATGGCTCTGATTCAACTCAAATTAAATGCGAGAAGGGAAAGAGAGCTCAGGGTCACAGGCAGGGCTGGAGGGCATCAGGTGACAATGGGAAGGTAGATAGGAGAGGTGTGTCCAAGTTGTAAGCCTTCGGGGGAAGGGCTGGGATGCAACTGGGGAGGGAGGGAGGGAGGGAGGGAGGGAGTTTTTAGAACCAAGAACGCCAGGGTGGTTTAAGAGACAGAGGTAAGAGTAGGAGGAAGTCACTAAGGGGTCAAGTGGCTTGTGAGCAGGAAGGGAGCAGGGAATCAGAGAAGCAAATATAAGACAGAGAGCTGGCTGCACACAGTCTGATTTCTCTCTGATCACCTCGCATAGCATCATCTGCTCTGACTGGAAATGCTCTCCGGGGTCTGAGGTCATGGCAGTGGGGCATGTGGGTCTTTCCTAGCCCCGTCACCTCATCCTTGGGACAGAATGTGGGGCCTTCTACATGCAAGGGAAGCAGCCTATCACAGAGGGCAGTGATTCCAGGAGCCAAGCAACCCGATCATGGCAACTGAAGAAAGGGAGAGAGTGAAAGTATTGGCAGGGGTGTTCCTAACTGAATGTAAAAGAAGAGTGCAGGAACTGCCTGGCTGGATCAGACCCAAGTCCTTCTTCAGCATCCTGCTCCCTGCAATAAACCTCCCCTGTGGCTTCTCCTGTCTCTTGCATGCAGAGGTACAATCTCCATTTACCTCAGGCAGCAGATAAGATAAAGGCTCTTCTTAATTGCTCTTCTTAATTCGGGTATGACTCCAGTGAGGTCCTCTAATGCTATCAACCATTTAGCAGCGGCCCTTCTAGACAGCTAGGAACACCCCTAAGTTGTTCTTCGTTCCCACCCTCCCACAAAACCAACCACATCCTTCTCACACCTCCCTAGGCAAACAACCAGACCTTGATCTGTCTATCTGAACACCTCCCCACTTTTTCCATAAATGTCGTGCTCTCCTGCCTGGCTTTGATCCTCAACCCCCATCATCAATCCAGAAGGATGAAGAATTATTCACCCGTCTCAACAGCTCAGATCCCGTACCAATCTTGCTTGTATCCACAAAATTTCCCACCCAAACTTCAGCTGCCCCCTTCCACCTTCGCACCCCAAGTTCCAATATATAACAAGATGGGTGAACTTTCCGCCTGACCAACCTCCCTCCCCAGGCGTTTCTTGCCCCAAGCTGCCACCCTACTTCTGATCAAGGCACCTGTGGAACTTCAGAGCCCACGCCAACCTTCTCCTGAATATCGCTACTCCCTTTTTGTTTAGCACAGCCTTCGACCAACTCATGCCTCAAGCCCCCAGTCCAGCTCCTGGCCTAGTCTTTAGCACCCCAGAGGTATTCTATCACACCACCCTCCAGTGTGACCCTACACACCCAGTCCTGGCCTGCTTGTATGGGCTGCCTGTATGCTTCTGGTCCACATTCAAGGCACTGGTTTTACCCTATAAAGTCCTACACAGCTTAGGACCACAGTTCCTGTCACGAGCACCTCTTCCAGCTCCAACCTAATTGAGCACTAACACTCAACCTCTGGAACCTTCCTCCAATAGCCAAATCTAAGGGAAATGGGGAAGGTAGCAACTGGGGGGGGGGAGCTTTCTTGGTGGTGGCCCCCATCTACAGACTCACCTCCCCACTGCAGTCCAGCTGGTGCCATATTGGTCACCCTTTTGGCACCTGGTTAAGCCAGCCCTCTTTTCTCAGGCTTTACATGACTTCCTAGGCCACCCAAGAGCTTAAGGGGGATCACCAGATGTTTGCGGAGCCACGTCTCGTCATTCTTTGTACCGTATGTTTTTCTCAGCTGTTTTTAGCGGCTTAAAACTTTTTAACGTTTCTGTCAGTTAAATTTAATTACGTTTCACTGATATTTTTATCAATTGTTCTTATGGATTGTGTGACTCGTCCAGAAAGCTTCAGCTGTGGGGTGGCACAGCAACAAAATAAATTTTAAAAATCCCCCCACAGCCCTTGTGCGTCTGATCTTTATTCCACTACCTCGAAACACTCTCCCAGCTCCTCACAGTATCTCCTCCCCATCTCCAGCTGCTCCCCCGCACGCTCAGCTTGCTATGCCTCAATACGAACTGACCTCTACCCATTCAAGCCAGCCCACCCCCGCACCAAGCTCATTTATCTTAAAATGCACCCGAGGCACACCCGCACCTCCAAGCTACACCCACCAGCTGGAACTAACCCTGAGTGGCCCAGACCCTCCACTCCAGCACCCACCTTGCCCAACCCCCCACCGACCTCTTAGGAACCCCAACTTCCACCCCATGCATTGCATTCAACAGCCCCACCCCGACTTAAAATTCACCCCTCCGTGTCCTAGCGAAGAACCTGGTTCCCCCCCCCCACTCCAAAATCTTCATCTTGCTATCTGGAATGAACTCCAGTATCACTGGACTCCCCTCCCCCTCCCCACCCCCGTGATTCTCAGCATACCCACACTGGTTTAGACTGGGCCCCCCTACCTATTCCTCACGACCCTTAAGCCTGCAAAGTCTTCCGTGGCTTAGCCAGCCTTCCACTTGCACTTCAGGAACGCCCCCACCCCCAAATCAACTCCCACCCCAAGCCTTCCCATTTCAAACCACCCCCCGCCCCACTGCTTCCATATTACAATTAGACTCAGCCCCCTCCCTCCAAATCTTTGC